AAAAAAAAAACAGGTGCAAGAAGGGTACTGACTCTCCTTTTCCTCCTGAAAACAAGTTAATACTGGTCCCTATATGGAAGATGTCTCCCCTAAACCAAAAGGAAATTACCACTCATCGTTGGCTTCCTCACACAGTTTATTCAACTTTTCCACAATTGCCTCTCTTTGCTCCACTTTGCATAAAAAGCCTTTAGGTTTTGCCACTTCTTTGGGCCATCTCCTTACGATGGCTTCCCTATCACCTATAACTTGTATTCAATAAACTTTTATGGTTCCTTCCTGTTTCCCTGTCTTATGTCAACTTAATTCTTAGACCCAGCCAAAAACACAAAGAGGATAGAGGTAAAATTTTGCCTCCCCTGCAGAGGCAAACCCTAGATATATTTTATTCTGTTAATGCACAGCAAACAACCATAGTTGTTTACACCCCTATTTTCTGTTGTAGGAAAAGTAGAAGCTTGGTATTAGAACACAGAGTGGTTCACTTGGGATGCAGTATGTTGCTCACAGGTGAAATTTACTTATTTTTCAGATTAAACTGACATTTCCAAGTGCAGCCTATAGAAGATGCTAAGACAAATTATAAGGAAAAAGGTGTTTCATGGTCAATCGTGTTCTAGAAATGCTGGATTTCTTTACTGTTGGTGTTTTTAGAACCATAGTTATGTTATGTATATGGTGATTCTCCAGGAGAAGGGTGTTCCTTTATGCCTCAAATGGTAAGGCAATTTAATGTTTGTTAAATTTTAAAAGGAATTAAAAATAAAGAAAACAAGAAACCCCAAATGGTTTTATCATGTTAAGAATCCATTACAGAAGGAATTAGGAGGCAGTTATTAGTAGGTTCACGGTAATCTAGAAATCTGAAAATCTCAAACTTCCCACATAATTTAAAATCTTTCCCAGGCCTGATATCTTTTAAGGTCCCCTGGCTATTGGGTAGCATTTGTGAGGTACACTGAAAGTTTGGAGGTTTTTACACTTTTTTTCTTGTAATCTCTACACACAACACGGGGCTCAAACTCATGACCCTGAGATCAAGAGTCACATGCTCCACCGACTGAGCCAGGTGCCTTGGTACATTGAAGGTTTTATGTGACTTTTCTAAAAGAGAAATTCATTCTGTTAAAAATCACATTTGATGGAACTTTTTAAAAAAGAGACATTGGGTGCTAAAAGGGATTTCTAACTGTCACTTTATTCTTGTGTTTTTCAAGATTAAAACTGTATGAACTATGTATAAACTACCCACTTTTTAGATGCCAGAATAAAAAGAGCAACCAAGGTTGTACAGGATTTCTGATTATTTTTAATCTGAACAGAATGAGTAAGTAGACAAGTTTGCCAAAGAGAATGATAAAAACTGAATGTTATGTCTTATGGAAATCAGTATATCGAGTTTTACTTTGGTAGCCGGTGATTCTTAGAGTTAATTCTGCAAAAAAACCAAAATCGTTACACAGGAACAAGAATATAAAATGCCCATTTCTGAACCCTACTCTGATAAAACTGATTTCATATCTAGCTTATTGATAATATTCAGTTTCAGTTTTCCCTGTGCAAATAATACATGTAAGTCATTAATGGTGGTTTGGTGAGGTGAAATCAATTTCTTTTAGGATAATTCGACATAATAACCAAATATAAAAAAGTTATTCAAGATTCACAGAGATAAACCAGTGCCTAGGAAACATAATTCACCCATGTGCGTAATTATAACATTTTTAAACATAAAATCACGGTCAAAGACAGTGATAACATTGCATACTCAGTGCATTACTTCATGTAGTGCATTCCTATGGCTCATTTGGAGTTTAACACCATGTATCCACCGTACGTCTAATGAATGGGCTTCTAACATACACAGATCCATCCAATTCTTTTAAAAAATCTGAAACTCTTAAAGACCTTGAACTTGACATACAGGGACTTTGTGTTTTAATATCCCAAACATTGGGAAGATTAGGTGTGAAACCAGTAACCACCCCTTGTAAGCAAGACTGCACATAAGTTTCTGTTACATCCCCACAAAGAACCCCCCCAAACAACTCAATACTGCAGACTGAGAGGGGCACATTTATTATTTGGCCAAAGAAAATTCAAATGGCTTTCCTGGAGTCAAATGTACCCCAAGATCTATACAAGGAATGAGTATAATGGTGGCAGCTAAAGAAATCTGCCACTGTGTAATAAATGCTATTATGCATTGGTGTTGTACATTTTGAGAATATACTATGATTTGTTTGCCACTATCATGGAGCACAAGAAAATGAAACTCAAGACTATCTTGTTATAACAGGATAAATGATGACCCCAGGTTTAAAAAGGGTTCTTCACTGAAGGAAAAAATAGAGCCATAAAAGTCAAATTAGCTGACTTCAAATGGTTTACATCCCAGGATGAATCAGGTTACACTGATTTAAGCCCAATTTAATTTAGGCAGGTTTTTAACCACAAGAATAAGGACATTCTTAGTACATATTAATAATTAAACCAACATATACACAATTAGCAATATCCTATATAATATTAAATGGTTTAACAACTTGTTCTCAATTATTTCATATCTAATTAATTTGTTGTTTAAAAAAAACAAGCTCAGCTTTATTTTACAATGTACTGTGTATTTCTAAGTGTGTTCTGTAATGATTTCATTGAAGCAGTACAGCTCTCGGGATTCTAAGAGCCAAATTCAACCGTATCTTCTGTTATCTGTTTGAATTCATAACTGCCTCTGCCATCCATATGCAGGTAGTACTATGGGAAAGAAGCAGAGAGAAAAAACATCAATGACTAAAAGAATTTCCTTTTTGTCAGGAACTTATGTAGAGATGATTATATAGGAAAATGGAGGTTATTTTAAGCCACTAATACCTTCAAAAGTTTTATACTCAGAAAGGTAAGACTAAATGAGGAAGTCTTTTCTTTTTAAAATAACAACAATATTATTCTGCTTGGAGTGGACACAGTACCTTCCTTCATGAAAACTTAAATACCAGAATTCCTCATTATTTTGAAGGGAACCAAATGTATAGGCTTCCTACAAATCAGAATGCTTCCGTAACCCCACCACCAAGGATCTGACGTACCACAGGCTGAACTGTGCTAACTGTAAGCCTATTCAATAGGGCAGTCTCGAATACTTCCTTTATCTGGTTTCCTGGATCAGTTTGGAACCTCTAACTTAAGGCTTTTTGTTTGTTCATGGTCTCAGTAGAGAAGGAAAAGAACTATACAGTACGCCTGCATAACCCATCCTGTGAAGACACTTAGGACAGCAGTTACAAAGGTTTCTGTTTCATTTAGCAGCTTTTTATTTACAGAAAAGATGTCTTTTTCCATCTTCTGTATTATTATTTCTTAGCTATTCTAGTCTGACACTGCAGTCTGTGTCATCCCTCCTTCACATAATCACTGCTTGATATTCTGTGCTTATCTCCACCACCAGAAGAAGAGGGGATGTCAAATCCAAGCACTCTCACAGCCATGTGACTGTGATGTTTATGAGCTCCTGAGAAAATGCAAAGGCTTGGATACTTTTTAAACTGCTTTATTAGTTATTCAATTTCTCATTTCACTCATGAAAAATGGACAAATTATAATATGTTTTAAGCTAATAAAAAGTAAGGGCTCCTGGGTGGCTTAGTTGGTTAAGTGTCTGCCTTCAGCTCAGGTCATGATCCTAGGGTCCTGAGATCAAGCCCCACACTGGGCTCCCTGCTCAGCAAGAGTCTGCCTCTCTCTCTCCCTGCCTCCTGCTCGTGCTCTCAAATAAATAAAATCTTTAAAAAATAATAATAAAAGGTATCTTTAAAAGTCACACAGCTGTATAGAATTCCATATTTTTAAATACTTATACAAGCTACCTCTTCGATGCTCATGGTAACCTAGGAGACAGGAAGGTAAGGATCAATAACTTTATTATATGAGGAAGCAACTGATGCCAGAAACAGTTGTGCTTGAACCCAGGTGTTCTGACTTCAAATCCCACAGTCTTCATTTTACCATGTGTACACTCTCATCTTACTATAAGGTTCTTGAGGGCAAAAACAGTACTCTGTATCCCTCAAGGACATTTAGCCCAGTACGTGCAAAAAAGCTGCTCTATCCGGAATGTATTTTATGGAACAAGACACCCCATTCCATTGTTCTGATTTCTCTCAAACCCTTTCTTTTACTCAAAATGTCTTTATCATTTCAGAAGGAAAAAAGACAAGGAAGGAAAGAGGAAAAGAGAGAGACAGAGAGAGGGGAAGAGAAGAGGGGAGGGGAAAGGAGTTAATAGGGTTAGTTTGGGGGTTTATTTTACATTAAGAACTGAAAAGGAAAAAAAAAAAAAAAAGAACTGAAAAGAATGGCACTGCTAGAACACCAGAATACATAAGGGATCTGTACAAGTGCAAACCTCACTGTAATCTCTATGTAAATTATAGTGACTACTTAATGATTCTATTTTATTACAGGGCAATGATAAACACAGCTGACATTATTCAGTTTCTCCTTACAGACAGGATCTCGCTAAAAATGTCCCTAAACTTTCTGCCATCTAATCCTTCCTAAGACTCTTTCCTTTCTGTCAATACTGGGTGGTAAGAAAAACTTTACTTAGCCAGAGCTGTGATAAGGTTGTGTAAATTTTAGTCAGTTATTATACAATAGTCATTTATAAAAACGGAGAACCACTAACTAGTTCTCTAATATCTCAAATACAACCAGGGCTTGTTTATATGTATTACAGCTTTCAAAACTGACAACTACAATAGTATTTAAGGAAAACCTATTTTATTTTATAGAACTGAAATAGAACCACCTTTTGTCCTTCAAGGTATGTATTTATAAGGGAACATACACCAAGAAATTTAAAACTACAATCACTTGAATTTAAATAAAATAAAATTCCACTATACCATTCAACATAAGAAATACAAACCTCATGGTGTTTCCAAAGAGACTTTCTATGTGACACAGTAAAGAGGGTGATGCCAACCTAATACAAAGAAAGTGATTTAGTTTTATACCAATAAAACAGAATCACAAATTAAACTCATCTATATATTCTAAGCTATTAAAATGACTATCTTCAGAAGCTATAGTTAAAAATCAGTGTGAAAGAAAAAATTACAACTGATGCCAATGTTCAAGGTAATGCAAAGTACAGACCATTTACCACATAATAAAAACACACAAGTATCAATAAATTCTTTAAGAAAAAAAAAAAAAAAAAAAAACTAGGGGATGCCTGGGTGGCTCAGCAGTTTAGCACCGCCTTCAGCCCAGGGCGTGATCCTGGAGACCCCAGATAGAGTCCCACATCAGGCTCCCTGCAGGGAGCCTGCTTCTCCCTCTGCCTGTGTCTGTGTCTGCCTCTCTCTCTCTCTCTCTCTCTCTCATGAATAAATAAATAAAATCTTAAAAAAAAAAAAACTAATGGGTACTAGCATTAAATGTACTATTTTGTTTGGGGCAGAAAATATACATCCTGACAGTTTCTATTTTATTGTGAAAAATGTATGACAAAAGCACAAAAATAGAAAAATAGCAAGAGATCAAAATCAGGAAAATTAATTCAATATAGTACTATCTACAGTCAGTCTATTTTTCAAATACAGGCTCATAATCTTTTATTGGAACCCCTTGTTTTGGAATGCGTCTTGGAGTTCAGAGTTTGGAAAAGCAACATCAGAATTCTAGGGCAAAATTCTACAACTAAGTATGTTTCTTTGGCAACACGGAAGAACATGGACACTGAGACAAGTAAGAGGTTAAATATCTTTTGTTGGGGCGCCTGGGTGGGGTGGCTCAGTCAGTCAAGCGTCTGTCTTTGGCTCAAGTCATGATCCTCAAGTCCTGGGATCCACATGGGGCTCCTTGCTCAGCAGGGAGTCTGCTTCTTCTCCTTCTGCTCCCTACTAATACTCGCTCACTCTCTCAAATAAATAAATAATCTTTAAAAACTTTTTTAAAATAAAAAAACATCTTTTGTTAGTTTAGGCAAAGTTTGGCTACCCCATTGAGCATACTATAAAATAATGAAAAATCTTTCAGTTTTAAAACCTTATTGGTTTTTACACTATAAATAAAGATTTAGGGCTCTCTAATAACTATTAAAAAAAACCATTCATCAATATAACTGCAGATGCTCTGGATCAATGGTTCTCAACTGGGGGTGGGGGGGATTTTTTTGTCCTTGGGGGACACTTAGCAATGTCTGGAGACATTTTTGACACAACTGAAAGCACTACTAGCATCTAATGAATAGAGATCAGATGTTGTCAAATATCCTATAAAGCAAAGTACAGCTCCTCACAACTAAGGATTATCCAGCCCAAGATACCAACAGAGCTGAGACTGAGAGAAACCCTACTCTAGACTGCAGTTTCTTAAAATGGATCTCTCAAGGCTGACAGAAATAAATACTGGAGTATCCCAGACAATTTTACCATGAGTTCTAATTTTATTTTCATTTTGATAATTTTTTTAAAATTAGGCTAAGTATTTTCTGGAACTTTTCTACCATGAATCTAAGTGCCCAAATCTGTGTTTATACTTCCGCTGAAACCAAGTGATTATTTAAAGTGATAGCTCTTGGGGCACCTGGGTGGCTCAGTCGGTAAAGGGTCCAACTCTTGATTTTGGCTCATGATCTCAGGGTTATGAGATCGAGCCCTGCATCAGGCTCTGTGCTGGGCATGGAGCCTGCTTAAGGTTCTCTCTCTCCCTCTGTCCATCCGTCCCCTGTGCTCTCCCTCTCTCTAAAAAAAAAAAAAAAAAAAAACATAAATAAATAAACTGATAGCACTTAAAACTTTTAATGTACCATAACTTTGAATGCCATGTGGAAAGGTTCTCAAATTGGTTACAAACTGCATGACAAAATAAGTTATCAGTACAACACTGATTTTTGAAAGCTCACTTCAGATACTATTTGTTATGATTCTACAATAACTGGATCAGATCTCAACTTAATGAAAGCATTCTTTCTGATAGAATTACTTAAGTAAGTAAGACACATTAGCAAAATTCAAAATACACGATCTGGACCTCAGACTATATCTTTCCATAATTAAATCCCAAACTAGTGGTTTAATTTCAGCAAAACAATATCAGAGGTCTCTTTAATGTTACCAACTTGAAACTGTGTTTTGTCTGTACTTAATTTTTAAATTTATATTCGTTGTGTGGCTGTAAATGAGCTCTAAGTTCAAGGAATTCATACCTCATTTCATGCTTATACATATGTAACTGCTATTATAGTAATATAATTTAAACTATCAAATGGGGGCCCCGAAAGAATTTCCTTTTAAATGGAATCTATGCTTTAGAGGAAAAATGCATCTTATGTGGGGACATATAGCCTATAACTAAATGTAAGGGGACATCACATGGTCAAAACTACCAGCAAAGAGCCTCTAAATCAGTAATTAAGGGACACATGGGTGGCTCAGTGATTGAGCATCTGCCTTCAACTCAGGGCATGATCCCAGGGTGCCCGGATGGAGTCCCACATCAGGCTCCCTCATCAGGCAGGGAGCCTGCCTCTCTCTCTCCCTCTGCCTAAGTCTCTGCCTCTCTCTCTGTGTCTCTCATGAATAAATAAATAAAATCTTTTAATAAATAAATCACTGATTAAATAGAGACCACATCTCCAATACCTATAAATCTGAAAGTTTATACGAACAGCTACATAAAAAGATTATAAATGACCAAAACTGATTCTAGAAAACAAATCAGTAAAGAAATAAAATCAGTAAAGAAAAATCTTCCTACAAAGATGAATGTAGCAAATTTTTTCTTTCATCATTATACCAATGCTTCTCAAACCTTAATGTGCATTTGAATCTTCTGGGAATGTAGTTAAAATGTAGACTCTAATTTGGTAGAGCCAGAGAGTCTGCATTCTCACAACCTCCCAGGAGATGCTGATCAATGACCTCACTTTGAATAGTAGGAAGTCATACTGTAAATAGCAACATAATCTTTTATATTTACTGTAAACCCCCAAAGAATACTTACAAATTGTTAAAAGACCCATGTACTTCCTTACTTGTATAACACTGTAAAAGAGTTAGGATATACTGCTCTTATCCTCAAAATCCAACAAGAGTAGAGATGGTGTGACAATCACCACAGAACTACTGAATATTCAGTTACTTAAAGAACAGTAATCAATATGCACAGCCTGAGAAAAGGCTACCAAAAGAAACCCTGGTAAAATGTTGCCCAGGCCAGAGAAAAAAATGGACAAACTGAAGCTACCAAAGGACTACTATCAAGTTTTCTTAATTAGAAAAACAAATGATATTTAGGTTTCATTCTTAATGGAACACATTAAGAAAATAACAGTTTATTAACTGAGTATAGGGAATGAGGTAAAAAGGGAAATAAAGTTAAAATACAGTATTTGTTTCAAATCTAAGATATAGCTAAAGAGAATTATATACAGAATTCATTTACAATTCTTTTTACTCATATCTATTAATTATTATTTGAAATCTTTATTAAGTGGATGGAATATCCTTTGATAGTAATTTTGCATCTTAATAACTTGAAATTTCTCTTTGGATAGATACTTGGTTGGACACAGAGTAAACTAAGAATGACACAGAAGCTCAAACTGAGGACTTGAAATGCTTACCTTTCGACAATGACTGTAAATGTAGCCTTCCACATCTACACTAACCGCACTGGTACATTCATCCAAAATGGCAAACTGGGGTTTATGATAAAATAATCTTGCCATCTGAAGCATAAAAAGAAATATTCTGTGTAAGCACATGCAGAAATTAATAAGGTAAAGTAGATTTACTTTAAATTAAATATGCATTAGTGTTGTAAAGCAAGTATGAAAATTATTTTAACTCAAAAAAATCTACTTCCTCAAAACAGAAACAAAAACAAAAAAACACAAACCTAGGTGTTTTTACTATCTTCCCAAAAGGGAAAATGTAACACATAGGAAATTTACTGTTGAGTAAATCAAAACATTTAAGAATGATGTGAAATGAAGTTGAGTTTTAAACTATTAGGAGGAAGTTCTCTGAACAAAATTAAAGGGTACATATTTTAACCAAATCTTAGAATTTAGACTCCAGATGACTCAAGTGCAAAAACGTGTTTATTTCTAAACATTCTTGTTTAAGTAATGACAAGTAATTATTGATCAACCAATTAGTATTTCCACCAATAATTTTTAATGTACCTGTTTTATATCCCTGAGGTTAATACTGGATACGCTTATTCTTTTAAAGGTTCTGCTAATTTTATAAGTAAAACTTAACATTAAGATTGTTATAGCTTCCATTTCATTATGTTGAACATTTTATCTTTATTTTTCATATGTATTTCATTTTTTGGGAATTATTTACTCTGATTCTTTGTCTAACAGATATTCCAACTGGTCATTTGCCCCTAACAACGATCACCATGATGCAAGACCAATGGACACTTTTCTATCCTTACCCAATTTATCTCTTCTGCTACATGCAACTCAGATGACCACTTCCTCCTTCTTGAGAAAGTGACAGTGAAACCATAGTCTTAACGTTTCTTCTCACTTCTTAGGCTGCTTCCTCAGTTTCTTTTCCAGTATTTTCTTCTTCACTTGACCATTAAATGTTGGAGTTCCTCAGGGCCAATTCGTAAGTCCTCTCCTCTTTATCCTATATTTGCCTCTCCCTGAATGATCTCATTGAATCTCATGATTCCAAATATTATTTACACTTGTGAACTCTCAATACATATCTCTTGCACATCCTTCTCAAGTTTCTAAATTGCTGAATAAAAATTCCTTTTTGATATTTTTACTTAGTCATCTAATTTTTCCCTTAAAATCCATTCATCCACCCCACCCCACCTTAAATATTTCAGAAAATAACACTATAACACTATCAAACAGCTGCTTAAGCTAGAAGGCAACAAGTCCTCCTTGACCTGTTCCTTTTTCTTCTCCTCCTTTTCACACTCCCACCCTCATTTTTTAATCCATTTGAGTAAGCCCTTCAGTGTTTGTAGTCCACTCACTTTTCCCCATCTCCACAATCATGCCCTCAGTCCAGAACACAATCATCACCTGCCTAGAGGACCATGAATAGCCTACTTCCTCTTTTACTCCTCTCCAATCCATTCTCCCTGTAACCAGAAAGGATTTTTCAGAAATGTAAGTCAAAGAATTTCACTCTTCTGCTTAAACCCCTTCAACATCCCACTTCACTTAGAACAAAACGCAAACTCCTTACCGTGGCCCACAGGCCCTGCACAATCAGATTCTTATGAGTGGATAAAGCAGATATGGTGTATGTATATGTGTGTGTGTGTGTGTACACACACACACACACACACAATGGAAAACTACTCAGCCATCAAAAACAAAAAAAGACACACAATATATATTGTGTGTATACACACACACACGCACACAAAATGGAAAACTACTCAGCCATCAAAAACAAAACAAAAAAAGAAATCTTGCCATTTACAATGACGTGGATGGAACTACAAGATACTACACTAAGCAAAATAAGTCAATCAGAGAAAGACAATTACATGATCTCACTCATACATGGAATTTAAGAAACAAAACAGGATCATAGGGGAGGAGAGGAAAAAATAAAGCAAGACGAAATCAGAGAGGGAGACAAAGTATAAGAGATTCTTAATCATAGGAAACAAACTGAGGGTCTCTGAAGGGGAAGGGGGACAGGATAACTGGGTAATGGACATTAAAGAGAGCAGGGCACATGATGTAATGAGCACTGGGTGTTATATAAGACTGATGAATCACTGACCTCTACCTCTGAAACCAATAATACACTATATGTTAATTAATTAAATTTAAATACAATTAAAACAAAAGATTCTTACTTTCTAACCTCAACATTCTAGCCAAAATTGTTTCCTCTCAACTACCAAGACACAATGGGTCTTAGGTCAGAGATGCTTATGGCACATGTCACTTTCCTTTTGTCTCCAACACCGTGCTCTGCTTCTTGTATCTTTAAAATTTCTCCTTAAACCTACTCTGACCCCTCCCCTAAAATCCAAGTGGGTCCCCCCTGTAACTTCTCTACAGCCCTTCATATGTTGTGAACTGTATGTTGTCAGTCTCTCTGCCTACCTCCCTAGGCTATTATATTCATAAGCAGAGACTATTTTAATTACTACTGAACACTCAACACCCGCATGAAAGAAACATAAATTAATGACTAAAATATAAGCAGCTTTCTGGAGGTTTATATTTATTTGATGAAGTAAGGAAGGGATTATTAAGAAGTTCAACTGTACAGAGAATGATAGGTACAGACTACAGAGGACCTTTGGTTAAAACATAGCTTGCTTTTTACATCAGGGAACCTGAAAATGTCTTTCTGAAAGAGAAGGACCAGAAGAGATTAAATATAGGCTGTGCTGCCTCCAGGCCTGTTGCTATAGAGCCTACCTGTGTGTCAATAAACAACAGTTGAAGCACAGAAAGAAAAGAAAGAAAGAAAGAAAAAGAAAGAAAGAAAGAAAGAAAGAAAGAAAGAAAGAAAGAAAGAAAGAAAGAAAGAAAGAAAGAAAGAAAGAAAGAAAGAAAGAAAGAAAGAAAGAAAGAAAGAAAGAAAGAAAGAAAGAAAGAAAGAAAGAAAGAAAGAAAGAAAGAAAGAAAGAAAGAAAGAAAGAAAGAAAGAAAGAAAGAAAGAAAGAAAGAAAGAAAGAAAGAAAGAAAGACTGTGTGAATCTGCACACATGCATTACTGAAGGAAAAAATATGATAAAGTCAGAGGACCCAAAAACATGGAAACATTTAGCCTTTCTCAAGAGGATGAATGACTTACCCTCCACAGATGGAAACAGGGACATCAGGAAAGTCTAAAGTGAACTTAGTTAAGAGGACTGATTATCTGAAGGCATTCCACAAACACCTCCAGTCAAGTGTTCCCAAGGAATTCTTTGCATACCTTCATCATCACACTTGGCATATTATATGGCAACTTTTTTATGTGTCTCTCTCCCATCATGCTGTCGTACTTGATACCACAATATAAGAAGACTGTAAAGTGAGTTAAGTACATGACCCCTCCAGTATTGCCACTGGAGGTTGACAAGCACTGCCCCCCCATAGCTATCTTTGCTTGACAGCCTACTTCACTGTGCTACATTTCAATTTCTTCCATACAAGGGGGCACTCAACCATTTCTGCTTCAAAGGACTTGTAAAAATTGAATGTAAAGGGCTTAGCTGACTGTCTATCACAATTAAGCACTCAATAAAAATGAGCTCTCAGTTGACTGACATAATAATTGACATAATGCTGCCTTATTTTTTTTTTCACTTCTCCAACAGATTTATTTGGAAAGGAATGGATTTTGAGGAGAAAAAACATGGGGCAGAGGTATAGAATAGAAAATAAATACAAATGTAAGCTGTTTTGCTAATTGTTTTATAACCACAACAAATTCCAAAGAGAATGCCCTGTACAAAACAACACAAGGTTCAAAGATTGAGGTGTTCCCTAGGACGATGAGGATTTCAGTCTCTGGTATTTGGAATTTAGGCTGCAGTCTTTAGTTTTGGATGGATCACTGGGTGTGTGACACAGTCCGTGCTTTTAACCAGAGGTGAGTTTTAAGTAGGAGGTGAAATGTTCTGCTGGGAGTTGTGGAGTAGGAAATGGGATAGAAAGCCTGAGATTGGTAGTTTTTAAATTATTATCATGAAAAATGAGAGAGAAGGGCAAAAGTAAATAAAATGATCACCAAAGAACACTTCTGAGCCCCGGTAAGACTGGAAACCATGCAAGTGTGTTGGTACCAAATCACATCATTCCGATCTTTCAGCTGTGCTCAGAGGCCTATGTACAGAAATGCCAAGGCAAACAACTGCTCTTGGGCTCAAGTTGAGATAACAATGAGGCAACAAAAAGTGGGAAAGGAAGTTAAGGGAAAGGGTTATTTGTTCATTCCTTTAAGTATTATCTCCTGGGTACCTCCTATGGGTCAGGCCCTGGATTATTAAGTCTGTACTGGACAGAAAAGGAGGCAGAGTCAGAGGGGACTGATCAGGGACACCTGGGTGGCTCAGTGGTTGAGTGTCTGCCTTTGGCTCAGGTCATGATTCTGGGGTCCTGGGACCGAGTCCTGCATCAGGCTCCCCACAGGGAGTGGGCTTCTCCCTCTGCCTATTTCTCTGCCTCTCTCTCTCATTAATAAATAAATAAAATATTATATTTAAAAAAAAGAGGGATTGATCAATCATAAGAAAGGGGAGGGGCAAATAGTCAAGATGTCAGTGAGTCTAAAGAAGGGAGACAGTTGCCAATTAGGTAAAAGAAAAAGAATTACAAAATTGGATTTAAAAAACACTAACAATTTTATGACAGTGTTATCTCTAGTAGGGGGTTTTGGTCCTTTTGTATACTTCTATAAATATCCCAACCCTTCTATCATAGATATTTTTCATAATTCATCATAAAAAAAAAGCACCACTTCTAGATAGGAAGAACAAGCATAGTTGAGTGAGAAAGAGAACTATCAGTCCGAGAAATAAGATTGTGCAACTTATGATATTGGGTAGAAAAACCCTGGCTTGGTAATGGCTGGGCCCAAAGGGGTGCAATGGAGGTAAGGAAAATGTTACCTGAGATTTTAAGGGGCAGTGAGAGAAGTGGATAGACAACCAATCTGTACGTTGGAGGCTATATAACATACTGGTCAGTAGCAAGAAGGGTGATTTCAGACCCCCTTTCACTTGAATCTCCATTCTGCAACTCAGTAGCCACATGGCATTAGGAAGCTGCTTAAGCTGTGCAAGTCTTTCCCTAATAAAATAAAGTACCTAATAAAGTACCTAAATTCACAGGGTTACTGGGAGAATTACACAGAGTCTGCCATTCAAGACCAATCCTTCCCTCATCATTATCCCACTGTACTTTCTATTTAGCTATAACTGAAGACTGCCTTGTGTTACAGTTGGTTGAGAATATGTGGATCTCCTAACTAGATTATTAAGGGCAGGCACCTATTTCAGTATCCTGCAAAGAGTAGACTCCTAGCAAGTAATGAACTCTGTGGAAATTATACTAGATTAAGTTTTTTCATTAAAATTATGTAATAATCTTATTTCCCTACATTTACTGATTTTTCTCAAGAATTTTAGAAATATGTTCACCAGATCTCCCTTTTATTCAGTAGTATCATCCCATTCCCTCAAATTCAAATCTGACTCTCTTTACCCAAAAGTTCCTTGGTTCATCGGTTTACACCAACCAACCTGCATTCATACATATCCACTGTTTTGGGTAGTTAGACCTTTCAAGTCCATTCTTCCTAAAAAAAAAAAATCTAACTTTTAGAATTTACAAATTATTAATATTTATAATTTATAAAAATTATGTCCTCTCTTCCCTCAATTTTCTACATTGAAAAATTTCAAGCCTACCCAAAAACTGTAAGAGCAATAAAATGAACTTTGCTCAATTTCACCAACATCAACATCTGTTTTATCAGCCTTCTCCCTTTCCCTAAAACCTTTTGGAGGTAGCAAAACAATATGCTCTCTTTTAAATTTCACAACCAATTCTCCAAATATTGGTTTATATAGAACATATCTGTCAGCAGCTTGGTCGTGCCGCAGTGCCACTGGTGAGTTTCTCCTTTCCCAACCAACTCTATCATGGTTCACCTGGTTTTACAGGGTTCTTCCCTCCACTTCTTTCCTCTCCCCAACACATCCCCTCACTCCTCAAGGCCTTGAATTTCTTATCTTCAAATAAGAACTATTCCCTCTGTACCTTTCATATTCCACACATAGGACTCCTTAGTTAAGCACACTGATTTTTGTTTCTCTGTATTTACACTGTGGGCATTTGTGAATCTTGACGTATCCTTCCATTTTCTTTGAAGTCATAATAAAAGGACCTTAACTTTGTTCTCTTGACTTGCAGTTTTTTCTATAGTCATCTTCTAATTCATTTCAGAAATCTCGATTACTTCAAATTCTCACTCCTAAGACCCAATTTCCATTTTCAGTATAGCTGACATCTCTTTTCTTTTGCTTATAATTCATTCTTCACTCTGTAGATTAATCTCATGTTACAGCACTAGCCAGACAATCACACTATCAAGTTGATATTAAGTCCATACAGAATGGGTATGTTTGGGAAAAATAACATGCATTATCAGGGAATAAGAGGCAACAAAAAAAGGCAGAATATAATTTTAAAATAATGAGTAAACAATTCAGCAATAAGCCATTTCTTTTGCTGTTTTTCTTTGGCTACAGTTTTCTCTAATTTCCACAAGGCTAACATTCTAGGGAAAAAATTTCCTCTGCAGCTGCTCATACTATAGTATCCATAGTTAGAAAATGACTCTTTTAAAAGTTATCCCCCTGAACATGGTATTCAAGGTATTATTCTTAACATGCAGTGTTCTGTAGTCATGTTTGATCAGGAGTAAGTTTAGACAATCACAAAATTAAAACATCTCCTTTCAAATGCCTCTTTCTATTAGGAGAATGTAAAAATTCTAAATAACTTCAGGTAGTAGATACTGACTCCTGAAACCAGAAAAGTATGATGATAGAGGGAAGGGCAGGAGCAGAAATAAAATGGGAACATATTTAGAATGGATCATCTCTAACACTTTCAGACACTTCTGAGAGAGCAGCTTCAGTGAGAGGTCAGTAGAGAAAAGATATTAAGAGATCTTGGACTGCCATATAATCCTTTCAATATGCTAGAAAGTTTCCCCAACTTTAATTAATCCCCAATGGATTAATAGTATATAACTAGAAAACTTAAGAATTTTTCAGAATTTTAAATGCACATGCAAGTTATACATTTTCAACACTTTTATTATCACTTCAATTAATCTATACTATAATAATTGCCAAATAAAAAGATTAAAATAAAACTGTGTACCTTGAATAATCAAAATACTGGACTCCACAAGTGACTGTATGCAACCAGTTGCATTGTTGTGCAATGTGTTCAGAGTATACTTACCGCCATTCTTTGTTTCTCTCCACCACTGAGGACATCCATCCAATCCTGAACACTGTCCCAGCCTCCTTCACGTTCAAGGATATGACCCAACTGGACATTATCTAAGTATTCCTTTAGTACCTTTCAGCACAATGATTAAAGATGAAATCAAACTTGATGTAAACCAACATTCTCTATTCCTGCTTTATTTTTTAAACTAGAATCACTATAATTCTATTGCCAATATCACTTAAAGGGGCACATTTCACAAAAGAATGTGACACAAAGATAGCCCTGTACCCTCACTTCCTATCTATACTAACCCCGACAAAAACCTACTTAGTAGCTTAAAGAGAATACAACTACTATACATAATTAAAGGATGAGGGCAAAGAAAAAAAATAAAAATAAAAAACTGTCAAGACCAGGTTAAATACTACACGTTTAAGCAAAGTAGTTAACATCTTATCTCAACTTGGAAAGTTATAATTAATGACATGGTTTTAGAAGACTTTACAATGTAGGACAGATAAACCACCTAGCAGTTAAAATACTTAACTGATTAAGATAAAGAATCTGATATGGAGTATTTCCAGTAGATCTAGGATATAAACATTTCCTTACCAGGTCAGATATCCCCTTCCTTTTCTGATCTTCTCTTCCATCTGGATATATCACTTGGTCTCGAAGTGTTCCAAGGGTCATATAAGGTCTCTGATAGTGACAGAGCAAAAATCATTTTAAGTGACTTTTTAAAAAATAAAAGATCTTTACATCAAAGATTACAAAATAAACAAGGTCCTCTTACCTGAGGAACGTAAAATAACTTTCCTCTCTCAGGTTTAGTTAGACGTCCTCCAAAAAGAGGCCATAACTATAAAAGGAAAATGATGGGGGAGAGGAGCAGTTGTAAATTTCACAATGTGGTAGATTGTATGGCAAAACAAGACTACAAAATCTTGAGGCCAACTTGTACTTACTTCACCAAGAACACGGAAAAGAGAACTTTTCCCACAACCATTTGGACCACAAATTAAAACATTGGCCCCAGATCGAACCTGAAAGAAAATCAGTCTATGAATTAACAATGAATATATGCTCAGTTAACATTTCCTTAGAGTCAAAGCATTCTTTGCTAATGATAAGCTTTTTATTTTGTCTATAAATGTGGTAACGGGTAGAAGCAGTGGAGGTTATGGTTGAAGAGATCTTTCACATTTTACTTATTTTTTTAAGATTTTATTTATTTATTCATAGAGACAGAGAGAGAGAGAGACAGAGATACAGGCAGAGGGAGAAGCAGGTTCCATGCAGGGAGCCCGACATGGGACTCAATCCCAGGTCTCCAAGATCATGCCCTGGACTGAAGGTGGCGCTAAACTGCTGAGCCACCTCGGCTGCCCAAGACATTTTACTTTCTAATTTTACTCATTTTTTTCATTTAAAAATCTTTGAGTGACATAAACTTAATCAGAATACAGAAATACAAAAAAAAAAAAAAAAAGAATACAGAAATACAGGTTATAAATTCTGAGAATTCTTGAAAACAGGTAGTATGTATGTATATGGTCTTTAAAAAAAATGGAATCATACTATATATGTTCTACATATTACTATTTAGCAATATATCAAAAATATTCTTCCAAGTCAGTATATTCAGATTCTTCCCATTCTATTTTTTAAGTGCCTACAGTGTAATCCATTCTAAGAATACACCATAATTTACTTAAAAACTTACTTTTTGTTAAGTATTTAGGTCATTTGTATTTTGCTTTGCTTTTAGGTAATACTGCAATGAACCAGAAGCAGTGAGCAAATTTATGCATAAGTGAGAAATGTTTCTATGGACCAGATTCTTGGAAGTGTGTGTGTGTATATATGTGTGTGTGTGTGTGTGTGTGTGTAATAAATATTTACAAGTACCACACCAATTGTTCTGCAATGATGTAAAGGTAAATGAGAAAATGTGATCAAGAGTGGTTAAGTTCTCAACCTAAGGTCTCATTTTAAGTATTAATCAACCTTGTGAAGAATCAGAAACCTGGGTCACAATCACACAGCAGGGTATCACAGCAGGAAAGAAGACAACAAAGATGTGAATTACTCTGGCTGTGGAACCTGCCTTTGACAAATTTTTTTAACTGTTGAGACTTGCATTCCTATTATTTAAGTCAGTGAGTATTTATTGAATGCTCAGTGTCAGGCTCTGCTCTATAAGTAATGGAGCTACACTAACAAAAGAGAAAAACCAAAGCAAAAAAATCCTGCCCTTATCACTTTACATTCTAGTGGGAGAGACATATAATAAAGAATACACACAATACATGAGTAAATTCAGTAGTGTATTAGAAAATAAGTGCTATGGAGAAAAAATGTAACAAGGTAGGGGATTTGGGAGTGGGTAGGGAGGTTACATTTTTAAGGCAGTGAGGCCAGGTCTCATTGAAAATGGTAATTGGGCAATTTTGAATGGAGTGAATTAGCAATTTATCTGGAGAAGATTGCTCCAGTCCAACCCCACCCAAAAAAAAAAAAAAAAAAAAAAGTTGGTTCAAAAAGCAAGTACATTCAAACAGGAATGTACTTGTTTTGGTTAAAAAAAAAAAAAAAAACAGGCTGAGAAACTGACATAGAGGAAAGAGTACTAGGAAAAGAATTCAGAGAGGTAAGAGGTTGGGGGAGGGCAGCACAGGCAAATCCTACAGAGCACTAGGAGCCACTGAAAGGACTACCTTTTGCTTTGATGAAACAAAGAGCCATCAGCATTATTCCCAATAGCCAAAGGTGGAAGTGACAGAAGAGAATGGAAGGATAAACAAAATGTGGTCTATACATACAATGGAAGAGTATTCAGCCTTGAAAATGAATGAAATTCTGACACATGCCACAGCATGGATGAACCTTGAAGACATTATCAAGCTAAGTGAAATAAGCTAGACACAAAAGGGCAACTATTGTATGACTCCACTTGTATGGAGTCCCCAGAATAGTCACACTCATAAAGTAGAATAGTAGTTACCAGGGGCTGGGGAGAGGGAGCAATGAGGATTTATTGTTTAATGAGTATAGAGTTTCTATTTGTTATGATGAAAGAGTCCTGGAGATGGTTAGAGGTGATGGTTGCACAACACTGTAAATGAACTTAGTATCACTGAATTGTTTACTAAGAAATAGTTAAAATACACATTAATAATACACATTGTCAAATTAAGTTCAAAGTACTTTGCATAACTAACATTTTTCATTTTTAGAGTTTCTTAAAAAGTGGAGATGTCCTTAAAAATTTAATCACTAAGAATAACAAAATTGAAGACTTGCCTAAGATTATAACAATTTAGAAACAAATCCAATAATTATACTTATTTTTAAACTATCAGACAACATTGCTAAAGTTAAAGCAGTTGAAAAGAATCTTTACATACAACACAAATTATAGAAGGCCACACAGGCATGGAGAGAGGAATTCTAGAGCTGTGCTGTGCCATTTGGTAACCACTAGTCAGTCACATGTAGCTATTTACAATCCAATTTATTAAAATTAAATTTCAAGTGTGACTACTATAATGAACAAAAGCAAATACAGAACATTTCCATCACTGCAGACAATTCTACTGAACAGTGCTGTTCTAAAGAAGTGGTAGCTAGACTTGGGGAGACAGCCTACATGGTAGGAATGTTACTAGGCAACCAGATTTTCTGAACTGTTCATAAAGTCATAATAGACATATATTCTAATAGTAACCCTTAGGCCTGGGAGTGTCTCATAAATCACACAAAAATACTCTTCTTTTGCTTTTGCTTTTTTTTTTTTAGCTTTTTTTTTTTTCTTTTTCTTTTTAATTGAGTCTGCCATGTTCCCATTTGATTAACTAACTCTACTGACTCAGCGCCACTCTTCACTTGGCATGTTACTGCAGCGCTACTATGCTGCTCTACCACAGTTTTCAGTAATAATAGAGTCTATATATATTTGGTTCATGTAGGTACAGATCCCTCCTGCACAGTCAAAACAATGCCTAACCATAATTTTTTTCAACTTAGAGACTAAAATTACATTGCATGTTTAAATATTCATTTCTCACCGGGGATTACAATCAACTATATTTTCTGTGGCTTTTTTGAGACAAACTATTTTTTTAAAAATGTTTGACAATAGTATCTGAAACTTTAAAGTCCTAACAGTTAAGAAAAATTGATTTCTAAGTGTTTCAAAGACTTACTTTTTAAAACAATTTTGTGGATTTAGAGATTAAGTCAAGCCTTATAGTTATCTTATATATTCAGACAAAATTTTCATTTCACATTCTGAATCTGATCTAAGCTTTTATAAGATCATTTAAAAACTTACTTCAAAATTAAGGTCACGGATCAAGATATCTCCATTTGGCGTTGCTAATGGAACATGATCAAATCTACAGAGGAAATTGATAAAAAAATTACAATTTTATATTAAACACTAAGCAAATGTAGCTGAAAGAGAATGGCTATTATGCAATTTAACAAATGTTTATGACGCTAAAGAACTCTTCCTATACCTACTTTATAATGTTATCAGCATTGATGATTTCTCCAGCACCAGGTATCAAGGGAATGAAGTGTTCTCCTTCTTCAATACCTTTAGTGGAAAACAAGTATTAAAGCATCACATTATGTCAGTCAAAACTTAAACTATGTGACCTAGTGCATTCATATTTACCCCTTTCCTGTTGCAAGACCATTGTGCGCTCATATTTGCCTTGATTTAAATCCTTTAGTACTTGCATTAATTCTGTAATCCGAGCAGTAAAACTGCAATTAAAAAAAAAAGTCATAATGAAAATTCCAAAGGCCATCTTTCATTACTATTTTTGATATTTATTTGAAAAGTAACTGACATGTAACATTGTACAAGTTCAAAACTTTCATTCAAACTTAACTGAAATTTCTAAAATTATAATTTAGTATAACTAGATACTAAGTATATACTTCGTATAACTAACTGTATACTAAGCAAGACAGCTTGGTGGAGGCTCCAAACAGCTGTCTTAAGGAAACATGAAAAGTTCACTCTCAGAGAAAAATGTTCCTTAATTTTCCTCTCAAAATGTGCTTGAGGAGCAGGAAATGGGGCTTCAGTTGCTCCTTATTTTAACCTCAACTGGGCACAATCATTAAGTATGACATATTTTTAAAACTTATTTTCTGCAATTACTCAGTATTACTAATCTTACTTACCCAGCCAATCTAGTCATTTCACGGCCAGCCAAAACTATCCGACCCAGAGCTTGAGACATTCGCAAAAGCATTCTTCCACTTTGGTAGTAATCCTTAAATAGAAATAAATACTCGTTTTCACTTATATTTCTAAGATTAAAAATTAGCTTTTATTTGTTTTTAAATTTCAATTTCAATTTATTATGGCTATGATTACAATACTTTACCTCTAGAAGTTCTGAATGTGTACTCTTGAGGTGTCGAGGATGAGACAAATCTAGAAAAGGACGACTTACAACTAGGTAACCAACAACAGTGGCAAGATCTGAAACAAAACAGTTCACATTTAATCATTAACAACACTTCACTTTCTCCACAAATTTCATTCCACTACCTTTTTTAAAGCATACTTACATTTGGCAACTATGCTATCAATGAAGCCCATAGAAAACCGAAACAAAATGAAATTATGGAGATGCTCCACCTGGTAGAAAGAAAATACAAAATAATATATATTATGTATGCATATAAAAATATGCATCTACCCTGAAAAAAACTGCATGATTTATTCCATAAATATTTACCCAAAATTTAAAAATTATATAATTTACTCCATAAATATCGCCTATGATTTCTGATTATATGTATGTCACATTTCATGCACAATACTATCACAGAGCAGATGCCAAATACTTTATGAAACCATTTTTATGCAAATGAATGGAAATTACATATAAATGTTAATCTGGTATATATTGTATTCCCAATATTGTCAGATATATATGTGTTAAAACTGATCAATAATCAAAACAATAAAACAGAAGGATAAGCTAATTTAGGTAAAACACTAGCTGTCTAGATTGGTACTCAGTGTTTTGCTTTAGTTGGAAACATCTGGTCTATGCTTTCTCTAAGAGTCATATTACACTCGATCTGAACCAAGTGCCAATGTCATCCATGCTGTACAGCCCTGGTCTGTAGCTTTAATCGATCACACACTACCTCAAAATTGTAAGTCTAAAAATATTCTCAAATTTTCCATCTATCAGATTATTTAAAGCCCTGCATGATCTGGCACTGGACTCTATCTTAAACTTCATCTGCTTCTATGTTGTTCCTTTTCACTGAGCTCCAGAAATACTGGTTCCTCAAACATGGTCCTGTCTTAAGGCTTTCCTCTTGTTTTGCCCTCTGCCAGGAATATTGTTGTCCTAGATATTTCTATTTTGTGACTAACTTCCTCATTCCATGCGGGTTTCTGATAAAATGTCACTTCAGGACAAATTATGCAATTTGCCATACTACCTAAAATATCTAGGCAACCACTGCCATCACATTGTACCATTTCATCCCATTTTATTCTTGGTCACAGAATTCACTACTATCCAGAACCATATAAAATATTGTTATTTATCGTCTCCTCTACTAAAATATGAGTTTTCTGAGTAGAGGGTGGCATCCTCTATCTTTTGCAAAAGGACAATGACTGAAACATTTATTCAATGAGTGCAACATATTACATGCTGTGCTCAATGCTGAAGGTACAATAATGAATAAAATAGACAAGGTCCCTGAACTCATGGAGTTTACACTTGGAGACAAGTGTAAACAAGTGAGACAAGTGTTTGTACATAAGATAATTATAAATTGCATTAAATTGGGAAGTAACTGGTGGAAGCCATTTCAGACAGACTAACCAGAGAAAGCAAGGCCACAGTAAGTTAACTTCTGGGCTAAAATCTAAAGGAAAAGAATAAGCAAGCCATATAAAGAGTGAGCTGATCTACCGCAGTTCTCTGGAAAATTACCTTAAGTGCATTTTATCAGTGAGCACTAACAGAGTTCAGTCATGTCAAATATAAGTAAGACAAAAATCCAATTTCTAAAAGAATTTACTTTTTTAAAGGCTTATCTATTCTAGATAGGGAGAGGAAGAGACTGAGAGAGAGAATCTTTCAAGCAGACTCCCTCTTGAGCACAGAGTCCCAATGTGCTGCTCAATCCCAAAACCTATGAGATCATGACCTGAGCCAAAACCAAGAGTTAGACACTCACCCAACCGAACCACCCAGGCACCCCTGAAATAATTTTAAATGACAACTTCTCTAACCTTTTTAAATCACCTCAAATGTATTTTTAGTTTCACAAATTTCCACTAAAATGTAAGCTCTTTAGAGGAAGGATTTTTGTAGGTTATGTCCACCATTATTATTATTACTAGAACCTGGAATAAGCACAGGCATCTAGATGGCACTCAATATCTTTGGAATGAAGTAATGAAATTACTTGAATTCAAATTTTCCAATTACTTGAATTCAAATTTTCCAAATCGCAAGAAAATAAAAACTGATTTATGTATAGTTCTTAAAATATACAACATACAAGTTCTTTAGAGTATATGACTACTTTTGAGTGTCAATACAGACCATAACATCTGAAAAGCCTAAACTATCTATGTATTATCTTGTCTTTTATAGAAATAGTTTGCTGACCCCATTCTAAATAATAATTACCACAGTATCTTCAAGAATGCTACAGAAACAAAATAATTTATCACTAAATAAAACTACTAAGCAACCTCTAAAACTACACTGACAATTACTTTAATAAATCAATCTATTTTTGTAGCTGGGAAACAATATACTGATATGATCATTTTATTCTTTTATTTTTTATGAAAATACAGTATAAAAATATTTCATAGTTATTTAAAAATAAGTATCTTAAAGATTTAAGATATATACCTATATAGGTAAATATAGATACAGATCAGCATAAGCAAAAAAAAAAATCTTTCTATAACTTCATGAGCCTGAAGCATATTATCTTACCAGTTTTCGGAAGACTGAGTGGATTGTCTGTTTTTCTCTCTTATTCCCATTGTAAAAGGCAATTTCTTCACTATTAAAGCAAATAATTTAGAAATTAATTTTAATATTACCAATGCCTGAAAAGTATTTGATGACGGCATATTTTATTTAAATCGACACAAGACTATAAGCTTAATGGGTATGTCTGGCCACAGTCCTGTCTGTACTTGAGACCCTGCTCCTAGCTCAGCTGATTAGAGAGCAAAAGAATACACACCTAACTGGATCACAGACCGAACAGCAGCCATATGCTGCATATACAAGTTATGTAGCCTGGTTGGAAAAGATGTGCTGGGCTAGTTCTCAGAAATTTAATTAATTTAATTTCTTTAATAAGAAATAAGAAGGAAGTTGCTATGACATATAGGAAGGCAGGGCTGGGATAGCCATTATAGATGACAAATGGAGTACAGATCCTACAGGAGGGAGAGGAGAAAACAATAGCTAAGAGAAGCTACAGAGTGATGCCATGACATACAGCTTTTGAAAGACTAAAAAGCAAACCAAGTCCAAACAACCTCACAATGCCGGCTTCTAGGAGCCCTGGCTGCACAGTCGTTATTATGCCGGGAATCCACCATACCCTCACAACTTCCCTTTTCTTGAGCTGGCCTGAATGGGCCCATAAGGACCACAAGAATCCTGACTAGAAGAAAAAGGGCATTGGTACAGATGAAGAAAGGTTCAGTGTAGTTAAGAAAAGTCTGTCAAAGTCATACAGCTAGCAAGTTAGGCAGCTCAGATTGTAACTCTATCTGACTCTAAAGTCTAGTCTTTCCACTCCCTATTCAGTATGATGTAAACATTCCTAGAAAAATAATTCTTACAGCAAAGTAAAGATTTACATAGGAATCTAGGTGGTATAGTTTAAAAAGCCTTTGATAAACACCTAATACTTCTTTAAAGTCTCTTTTTCCCCTTAAAAAAATATGTGAATTTTATAGTCTAATCCAAAATGTACCTGCATTTTTTTCCATTATAAAAAAAAGGTAGCTCTTGCTTCAACCCCTTCAAGCAAAATTAACTTTTTTTTTTTTTTTTAAGATTTTATCTATTGATGACACACAGAGAGAGGCAGAGACACAGAGAGAGAAGCAGGCCCCAAGGAGGGAGCCCGATGTGGGACTCAATCCCAGGGCTCCAGGATCACGCCCTGGGCAGAAGGCAGGCGCTAAACCGCTGAGCCACCCAGGTGTCCCACAAAATTAACTTTGTATAAAGATGAATCACATGAATCACGTTTGACTTGTGTATCACTATTTCCTTGGCAGGATAATACAGAGCCCCAGGGTATCAGAATCCCAATTTAAGCAACAATTCCATACCTATAATTACTTCTCTCTTGTCCTCCTACCTCCTCTGCACATGAGTATCTTCCTATGGAGGAAGACGAGGTGAGCATTCTACTTCTGACTCATTTAGCTCCATAGGATCTTAAAGGGTAAAAACATCCCAGAACACTATGGCTGCCTATCTACCACAACTATCTTCCTAAGTAAGAGAGCTCCAATTTCCTTAGTTATCCATCTATCCTTTCCTATGCACCCAAATGGTTTAGGAATGGAACCTTATCTATAAGGAATGAGTTCCATTTGGTTCCTGCCCCTAGAAGAAATGGCCTGTTTTTATTTCTGCATTTGTAACAGGGGAGGACAGCTAATGAGATCTGGAACTGCTTCTGCTATCTTGTGATCACAAGAAAAATTAGGTTGAGGAAGGGGCAACATACAAAAGACAGCTGAGCCAGGAGAACATCAAAGAGCCAGAGCCCTGATCCTGTTGTGCCTGGAATGGGGCTATCTAAGAGTTCTTATGTCAAGTACTAAATGTGCTTATTGTTATAGCTACCTGAGTCAGGGTTTTCTGTTTCTCACAAAAGAAAGCATTCTAGCTGATACCATCTTTGATTCACTTGGCAAATATCTCTCTGCACAACCAACCATCTATTCTTCCACATACCTACAGCACAACACTCTGTTTAAAATTGGTACCATTTTAGCAATACAAGGAAATAAAGGAAGAAGGAACCATTAAAAGAGTAATCTGAGTAATTTTGTAAATGCTTTACATACTAAATAAAGATTAGGACCCTTAGAATGACTTAAGGTTTATAGAGCAATACATGAGAAAATTTACTGAGTACCTACTACATATCAAAACCTTTGCTGGAAGCTTTGTATATTATCTCATATTTAATCCTCAAGATAGTATTATACTCTCCATTACAAACAAGATAAGTGAAGCTATAACTAACTTGCCAAGGTCATATTATATATAATTGATAAGTGGAGGAGGCATATTCTGAAACTAGTCAGGCTGGCTCCAAAGCCTAATACTTTTTCTTCCTATTTTGGAAAATGCCTGGAAAATAGGTAGAGATACATTTAGGGAGACTGAATTACTGAACTAGTATTCCATATATAGTCTCAAAAGTGTTTGTGGATAAATTGAGACAGGTTTTTATTTGAAGAAGTATTATAAGTAAATTTTTTTAAAAAGATTTTATGTATTTATTCATGAGAGACAGAGAGAGAGAGGCAGAGACATAGGCCGAGGGAGAAGCAGGCTGGAGACCAGATCCCGGTTTCCAGGATCACACCCTGAAGGGAGGGCAGACGCTCAACTGTTGAGCCACTCAGGGTTCCCTATAAGTAAAATTTGAATTTGAATTGAACTTTGAGTGTGTTTAAAGTGAAATCAACAGAAAATTAGTCAATAAAAGATATGAAGAGGTGAACCAGGGATACTACACAGTTGAAAATGAGAGAAATGCTGAGGATTACTAATCTATAAAACTGGTATTCTTCATAATGTGTTATTCAAAAGAGGTAAATACAGACACACACACAAATACAAATTTGTAAGAGTGCCTACCAGACTTTGTGGAGTTAAGTTATATGACAACAATATCCATAAAAAACAAATTTTTAGTACACCTAAATTTAATACATTTCTCCTTACCTGTTTGTGATGAGCCGGGAATTAACAAATCTATACTCTCCTTCATACTTTTGCTCAGTTATTGTCATCTTACCAATGGGTCTTCTAAGTCGAGTTAGGAATAGCCCAGAAACAATCAAGTAGGCCATCATACTTGTTGGGCCCTATTATTTTTGGAAGAGAATATACGAAGTTCAAGGATATCATAATAAATTCACTGGACGCAACATGCATAATTTCTATCATCAGCTCCAGTGAGACTTTGAGAGAAATTGCTCTTTTGGCTACTTTTTCCCCCTTATTTCTTTTTTGAGAAAATACACACTGGGCCTTCATGTTTTTAACCACTCACCTATTCTGTTCCTTCTTCAACATGGTAGCTCATCCCCAGCTTTCCTGAAATTGCCTACCTAAAAACTCCTCATTGTAGTCCTCATTCTTCCTATGGCATCTAAAACTCTTGATGGAATGCTTCCTGATATTCCCTTAAGATTCCACAAAAACTCTCAGATCTCTCTCTCTCTCTTTTTATTTTTTTTTTTTTTGCCTTCTGTTGGAATGTTAATATTCCCTGAGGTTTCTTTTTTTTTTTCCCCTGAGGTTTCATCCTTAAATCTTTTCTCCCAAATTTTTATCTCTACCCCCATCACTCTTAAGAATCTAAGGTAGCATTTCCAAGTAAATACCATATACCTTCACCTCACTATTCTGTAGGGCCTCAAGCTAAAGTCCCCCAGATAAGCTCTACCTGCCTTTCCCTTCTTATATTTTGTTTGCAGCTGCCATAACTTCTAACTTGGTGAGTAACTTCATCATTGACTAACCTAAGCGAAAAACTTTAAGTTTACCTCTCTGAGCTTATCACAAGCACTTCCCTCGCTCCTTCTATATCCTAGGATCTGTCATACTAAAACTATTTCCTGAACGTGTCATTCAATGAAGTGCTCTGAAAGCTCGACATATCTAACAGATAACTCATCCTCCTCAGAGCAGCTCAAATATCACCTCCAGTTCTTCAGACACAAAATTATTTTATTATAACTTCTGTTACTACTGTACTTATGACTCTGCATAATAACTGTCTGAATACCTATTCTTTCACTCGATTATAAACCTTTTTCAGCTGGAACTGTGACTTATTTTTTTATCCCCACTACCTAGTACAATAAATGTGGACTATAATTTGTATTCAATATTTTTTAATTAAATATGATTGATCTGATGCATTCAACAATCAATGCAAGAGTGGGCAAAGGAGAGAACTAAAACAGTTTCTACCTTGGAGAAATGCAGAATCAGATAACAGGAATACATGGGAGAGGTATTTAGGTATTATAAAAATGTAGTAAGTACCATAAAAATACTGCAGCACAGAGACAGGAGGGATTAGGCCTATTCACTTGCTTATAGTAAAGATTTTTTTTTTAATTTATTCATTCATGAGAGACACAGACAGAGAAAGAGAGGCAGAGACACAGGCAGAGGGAGAAGCAGGCTCCATGCAGGGGACCCAACGTGGGACTCGATCCTGGGTCTCCAGGATCCCACCCTGGGCCTAAGGCGGTGCCAAACCACTGAGTCACCAGGGCTGCCCCTCACTTGCTTATAGTAAAAACAAGCCAGAAGAATAATTAAACCTGTATCACAGGGTTGCAAAAGGTTAGGAGGATAGATGAAAAAATTCAGATAAAAAACTACTCTCCCCGGTGTTCTGGAAAGTGGCAAAAACCACTGTATAAATTACGTATTAATCAACTACAAGATGTGTATGCATATGCATGTACACACACATACACACACACACACACACAAATAGTCACACTATCACATGGTCATGTAAGAAGTATGTAACAGTAACATCACATATTACATGACTAAAGTTATACTTCAATAAGGACACTCAGAGAAAGTTTAAACGTCATTCTTACCAACACAAATATTAGAGTGACAGGATAATAAGGCTCATGAGATAGTCAACCATTTATATTATTATAAACTTACATATTATGTTATAAACCATTATAGCCACTCTAAAGGTATTTCTGACATTTTAACATTTATATTAAAATGGCTGCCTCCAAATCTCTTTTTAGACATTACTTTACAATAGTAAGAACATGAATGTTAAGGTTTAAGCACTTCTGGTTATTAATGCCACAAATTTTCCAAGTATCTACCTTAAGGAAAATTCAAACACCAAATTAGAGCACTTTTCAAGTCTCTAGTACAGAATTATTTTATAACTAGACTTTATTAGGTACATGAGATACATAAAAATTCCTACCAACAGTCTGGCTATTTACAACACAGTACTATAGCAATTTCAAAGATAGATAGATAGATAGATAGATAGATAGATAGATAGATAGATAGATAACAGATTAAACTTACCTGAGCTCCTATTGCACTTGTTAACTTGAAGATATACAAAACTATGTCTAAAAATGGCTGTAAATATTAGAAGGTAAAAAATTAAAAAGAAGTAGATTTTGTAGACTGGTAGCTAAAAGAACATGATAAATATAAAATGCCGTTCAATATTTAACATATAATGGTCAACATGCAGCATTCCCATTACATATAATGTACTATAACAGTATATAAACAAACAACAAATACATAAAGGCAAGAGTTCTTATTCTCACAAAACTTAAAATAGACCATAACCAATGTCTACTGACCATCAAGTGGGAAAAACATGTATCATTTTCCACCAACTAAGGTAGTTCTACTGTGATAATTAACCATTAGTAACTTAGTAACTTCTTAATGTAGTGTAAAGACACTGAATAAAAGGACCTGAAATGTAACCCCAAATCTAGTACCAGCTTTTCTGGTTCCTATATACCTAAACCTATAAAACAAAAGGCCCTTCACACTCGTACTATTGTCTAATTCTATTCAATATCCGTATGTTGAAATAAATGAATGAGCCTATAATTTTCTGATATAAAACTCAAGCTTCTAGAACTAAAACAAGACATTAATATACTACTGCTCCTTACACAGAGACAACTCAAATGACATAAAAGTTTGTACATATTTTGAAGTGTTTTTCAAAAACCCCATATTATATTCATTCACTTTAAGTCTATAGCCACTCCTTTCTGTTGGCTGTTGTTAAGCTTCTCTGTTTTGCCTTATAAATTACCAAGAAGCTAGACATACTTACAAACTTCAAGCACATTTAAAAGTTGACAAAAATGATTCATCATTTAAGTCACAGTTTAAATAATGAGATGTTAAAAACAGTAAATATACTGTAGTGCAGAGCACCACTACAATTATTTTAAATTTTTCTCTATTGCCAATGTGATAAGATCTGAGCTATAGAGCTGCTCAAGTGCCAAGATGTAAAGAATACATAACAATGTCTACAGAATTACACAAAAGTTTGTATATACAGTCCCCCACCCCTATATACACAGATAACTAACCACAAAATGTGATAATGGGAGTAAAAGAAAGATGAATTAATGAACAATTTATAGTTTTCAGAGTTCCTAGAGTATGGAATCAGTTAGGAAAGCCCTCTGGGTAGCTGAATAAAAAGTTTGGCATGAAGTGAAAAGACATCCTAGTAATGGGTCTGTCATGAGGGGGGCAAGGTCTTAGGGATACACAGCACTTTTCTAAGAATTGCCTGCCGTCCCTCTATCCACATGGTTGAAGCAGGAGCATTCCTATTCTTACAATATGACCTGGCCCCTTGTATATCGTTCTTTTGACTACGAGTGGATATCTGGATCAAATGTGGCCAGACACAAGGATACTATAATTGGTCCACTTTGAGACAAACTCCCACTCCAGACCAAGAGCAGTCATGTCAATTAGAGTAGGAAATAGGGCATCTAGGATAAGAGGGGAGGAAATGCTAGGTAGATTATCTTCCAGGTGCCCTTTACATGTCCCAGACAAGACAGGAGGTGATGGCAAAGAAGAGGACATAATAGGAAGACGATAGCAAAGCTGTAAAGGGTGGTGAGATAAGATAGTAAGATGAATAAGATCTGAAGAAATTGGCAGGAAGAAAACTGGTTAAAGCCCATCATCAGTCTCAAGAGCTTTGGCAATATTCAAAGGGGAAACAGTAATTAGAAAACTGAAATAAAAGTATCTTATGAAAATTTTTTTGACTATTATTCAAATGTTCTATTAGAATTAGAGATAATGAAGCACAGAAATGGACAGGAAGGAAAAAGTCCTAGCCTAGTGTTATGGATGTGGAACTGGAAACATAACTTGACGATCAATTTCTACCAACTGCCACAAGTTCACAGGTCAGGTGATAAAAATTTACATTTCTGTTGTTTTAGTGAAATCAACCTGCAAAATTCATACAAAATCTTTGCAAGACAGTAAATTCTTAGGCACCTCCAAAAATAAGAGAAAATAACTGGAATCAAAACTATTATAACAAGTCTAATTCTCTTATAGATGCACTTAGTATTTATATGCTACATGTCCATCAAATCAATTCTATATAAATTTGCTGAGATTCAAAACTCAACAAATTAGCAAATAATTTTTAAAAAGAAAATAAAGAAACTTACCTTACTAAGATTTGAATACAGATCAACTACACTGTTACAAAACTTTTCCACATCTTGTGTAAGCAGCTGGTCTGGATTGGCTATTCTGTTGTCCAGATTTCCCATTTTATAATATGTGAAAGTTCTAAAATAGGTGTAAGAAAATAATTTAAAATAAATTATTTTAAAAACAGTTCACATTCTAGCACACATTGCAAATTCAGAGAAATAGAAGTTAAGAGTTGAAAGAGGCCTTAAAGACTGTCCTTACTTTAGAGATAAGGAAGCAAGTCCAGAGAAGGAAGACTTGCAAATTAATCGAAGAGCCAGGATTAGAGTCTAAATTGCTAAGATCTTTCCCAATGTGCTTCTAAGAGCAATTTCCTTGAACAACATATCCGATACAAAAGAAAGATTTCTATATCTCAATATCACAAGCATTTCTATTTAAGTATTTTTAACATAAAAATAGGTTATCACTTACTGGAGATACTCCTCATAGAGGTATTTAGTTAGTCTTACTCGAAAGCACAGTTTGAGCTCATTTAACCCAAACTTCAAGAAGTTATTAACTACAGAGATCTGAAACAAACAAACACATATTACTGGTTTTATTACATTTCTGCTTACAAAATTATAATTTATTTTTCTATCATTGCCTCTGTCCTGAAATCTATTGATTTTTATAACTGATAGTCCAAATTGACATAATTTAGTTCTGTTTTACTCAGTTTACAAAGATACAAAGAGAACATGCTACACCAAATGCAATTGGCTATATTATCCTGATACATTAAAACCTTTCTTGAAACTTAGAGTATGTCAATATCATTAATTATGAGAAACAACTTGATACTTTTGTAAACAAACAAAAAGCCAAATCTGTCACCTTTGTATCCAACGTAAAGGAGCCCTGACATTTTTGTTTGTACCTTCTATTTCCTACTACAAACACTACACAACCCTAGACAATGAAATTCTACTTGCATTTGTTACAAAAATACTATAAATTTCATATCAACTAATACCATTTCCAGATTATTTCTAGAGTCACCTCTACTTCTCTTTTCCATCATTACATTAAAATTAATTATTCCATAGTTCCAAACTCACATTTACATAAATATTTTCTCAAGAAAATGCTGGTTGTTTATGGAATCTCAATCTTTTACTGATACCTACACTACTTATCTCAAGCTTTTTTAAAAGGTCTAAAAACCATATAACTATATCAAGTTTTATTAAATATCTGACATTTTCTAAGTAGCTAGATTTTATAATCAAGCTTTTTTCTCCCTATTTATAATACAAAAATTCTTACAGTGGCTATAAAGAACCAAGCTAAAAATTATCACTTGTGATTTAAACCGAACACTGACCTTTATTTTTAATAAATTCAGATAATAAATCCCAATTTCACTGAAACTACATTAGTGGTACAGTTACTATAACAGTTTATAGCCTCAAGCAATGGTTCTCAATCAGGGTGATTTTGCCACCATGTCTACCCCCATCTCCTAAGTCTCCCCTGGATATCTGGCTATGTCTTACATTTTGTTTGTCAAAACTGGGGGAGGACATTACTGCCATCAAGTGGGATGCTACTAAACATCAGACACCTTGGCCTAAAGGTGAGAATAAAATAACACATATGTACACACTCACATGTGTATACAATGAAACTGAACTCAACCTAATTAATGTTTACTATCTAGTATAAAGGTTTACATTGAAAAACTCTGCTATAAGTTACAAAACTAAAACTGAAATAGGAACTCAGTACCATAAATCTTTAAACTTAGGAAGCAAAAATATCTGAAGACTTTAGTAAGATCCAAATTTTTCCCTATATAAAGATTTTTAAGGAATTACACTTACGAGAGGCATGGCAGCGATGAAGTTGAATAAGTATCTCTTGAAATCTTTCCTGCTACGACCAATGATACCACTGCAAACCACCACATGCAATGCATTAGTTGCAAAAGAAGCAATATTTAACACTAATAACACCTGTAAAGCTCTAAAATTACTCTTGGAAGTTTTTATTGACTCAAAAGAATCAATAAAAAAAAAAGATGCTGAAAAACATTTTCTTGCAAAAACATGTTTCCAATTTTTGAAATTTGATCATTTTAAATAGGCTTCTTGAAAATCACTCTATAAACGGCAAAATTAAATAACAATGATTTCCTGGGATGTTTGGGTGGCTCAGTGGTTAAGCATCTGCCCTTGGCTCAGGGCATGATCCCAGAGTCCCGGGATCAAGTCCCACATCAGGCTTCCTGCATGGACCTGCTTCTCCCTCTGCCTATGCCTCTGCCTCTCTCTCCGTGTCTCTCATGAATAAATAAATAAAATCTTTAACAACAACAACCAAAAAAACACAATGATTTTCCTTAGTTCTTTCCTTCATAAAAATTGTAATTTAAAAAAAGGCATATGCTGCCACAAAAGGGGTTTAGATGGGGAAACAAGTTGATAGAGCCAGCAATGGGTTATTATGGATGAAATAAACTAGTATTTGTTTTTAAATATTTAAATATCCTGATTCTCATTTGTATGAATTAATGGCAGAGATAACCTAATGAGATCAAATCAGCAAACTCACTGTAAAAGGTCAAGAGTAAATATTTTAAGATTTTGTGGGCCACAAGGTAAGGTATCTGTTTCAATTAGTTCTGCTACTGCAGAGCAAAAACAGGCAAGAATGGGACTGGCTGCACCCTAATAAAAATTTCCAAAACAGATGGCAGTGGGATGTGACCAGTGGAATCTTGTTTGCTGACCCTGGCAAACAAGAGACAGAGAGTAGACTGGCAGGGTTTCTCAGAGCCTCAGAATGGTTTTGTAGAGGCTTCAGATCTTTTAACACACTACAACTAGACCAAATCCTCTTTTATGTTTTTAATTTATTTTACATATTTATCTGTTCTAAAAATATGAAGAACTTATTTGATCACATTCTTTTTTCAAATAATGTTTATTAATATTCCTCAATATAAGTAAAATATATTTTGAAAAACTGTGCTATATTATTTAAACCTAGCTCCACATATAAAAAAAAAAGGGTATGTGATACAGAAATAATTTTATTTTTGTGAGAGAGTAGGTGAATAATGCCAAGTAATGTTAATTGGTCTTTTAGAGCAAAAAAGTTGCATGGTAAAATAAATTTGAGAAAACTTGAGTTACACAAAGCTAACAAATGTCTTTATCAAAGACCTTCTCAAAGCTCTTAACATAAAACATGTGCATTAAGATGCTCTGAGAGGGCTTTGTAGCTGTCAGAGCTGGCATTCCATAGAACATACTCTGGGAAATGTTACTTTAGATTGACAGAACAATTAACAGTCCAATTTTGATAGAAGTGCTAAACAATTTTTTGTTTTTTAATTTAAGTTGAACTAGGGCAGCCCTGGTGGCTCAGCGGTTTAGCTCCTCCTTCAGCCCAGAATCAAGTCACACATTGGGCTCCCCGCATGGAGCCTGCTTCTCCCTCTGCCTGTGTCTCTGCCTCTCTCTCTCTGTGTGTGTGTGTGTGTGTGTGTCTCTCATGAATAAATAAAATCTTTAAAAAATAATAATTTAAGTTGAACTAGAAAAAGCTAAAATAGAACCACATAAAAATGTTGTTTCTAGAAATAAGAATATTAAAAACAAGAGCAGTTTAGACAGTACAAAAAGTTTAGAGGTTTATTTTAAAATTGTTTGAACCAAACTTTACATAAAACCAAAGTGCTTTAGTGCATCCAAGCTGTGAAACACACAAGATTATAAAACCTGGTAAAGCACATGCTATCATTCAGCAATGGTTACCATTGGAGTAGCAGCTATAAATTTAAAAAATGGTTTCTTGAATAAAGCCTTATTTCTGCTTATTATTCCGCTGAAAAAGAAAAATAATAATAAAAAGTGGTTTTACAGCTTACATAATATTACCTCCAAAACATGCAAGGATCTTCATAAAAGATAACTTGGTGATTATAAAATGCTGCTTACAATCAAATGGGTGAAAATAAAATATATCTTTATAATTTTACATTATATAAGCAGCAAGATATGAAGGAATCTTCTCCGTATCATGAAATTCCCATTTTCTAGCTTAAAGAAGGAGTCTCTGTCCTATTAAAATTTGCCCACATTCCTAACTCTTTAGTAGCCACTGCTAACAAGCCTTTTTAAAAATGTAAAGGATATTAAAATGTACATTAAGGACCATAATGAGTCTCTTTCAGACTTTTTTTTTTTAAGCAAAAATACATGTATCTAAACCTCTTTGGAAGAAACAAAAAGGAATAAACAGAAAAACTAATTTATAATGTAGCTTTAGTAGCAAGTTAGAGCAATGTGTTATTTTTCAAATAAAACTGTTTCATATTATGAATTCCCAATGTTTAAAAATGTTAAATTTAACCAAATATCAAAGATCTTATACATAGAAGCTCAAAAATATTTATCAAGGAGAAAGTTAACAATTTACTTTAAAATTACTCTTTCACAATTGATGAGTATAGGTTAAGAGTATAAGAAGTTCCTTGTATTGTTCTTGCAACTTTTCTGTAAGTTTAAATAGTATCAAAATAATATGTTTTTTAGAAACTCTTAGGGTTTTTTTTTCACTTTTTTTTCCATCTCATATCTAAATTTTTAAAATGAGTACCCAAATTGATTACTAGCTGGCTCATGTTAGATAACTTCTTCTTGTCTATCATCACCAGTTAATGTACAATCTACTCTCTGCAATGCATTTTATTCAGGGCATTAAGTATGTGAGAAAATTAAAATTAGCATCTATTCAACTAAAGCTGGAAATCCCTAGTTTATAAGAGCAAATATTATTCTTTCGGATTACAAAAACAGGAAATCATAAAATGTAAATAAAAGGAAAAAAAACTTTAAAAAAAACTACTCTACTATACAAAGTTGTGCAAGGTTCTTTATATGTAATATGTGACTTCTACACAGATAGCTAATAATGATGCTTATAATGAATATAAGCTGTATATTTTTGCTATAGGTATTTAACAATGCTATAGTTGGAAAGCCTGTATTTTTATTAACAAATATGGCATTTAGATAATAAAGTCATCAAAGGAAAAAATATAAAATTCTATAAGCATGTAAAAGGGCATAAATGTCTTCTCTACATTATACAAAGGATAATTACTTACGTACACAGCTCATATAAACAGAACTTAGCAATAAAATTGATCCTTCAAAGTTGATATGCTAGCAGCAACAAGTAAACACTTCAATTGTGTTTATGACAAACTTCTTTGAATTTGTTAGAAGATTCCTCACTAGGGCACACACACAAAAATAACCAGACTCTCTATACAAACACCATTCAAGGAAACCAGACTATCAATAAGCCCTCAACTTATAGCAAGTTTTTTAGCCCTTCACTTTTAAAGATGAGTGGACAGGCAAGAATGAAAACTGAGGAAAGCCTCTCACATGATCAACAAAAATCAGAACTGAGGACCAAGAAGAAACAGAAAATGCAGAAGTTTAAAAAAAAAAAAGTCACACACTTGAAAGAATGATTGCTCTAAAATGAACATTCATACAAAAAATAACTCTTGAAAATAAAATGATAAATACAAATTCATTGGATAAAGTAAAAAAAAAAAATTCCCAGAAAATAAAATGTTAGAGATTAAACAGTAGAGAAATTAAGAGATAAATCAGATGATCAGTCTAGGGTTCCAACACTCAAGTAATAATGATTCCAGAAAAATACAGGAAAAAAATGGAGAGGGAGAATTTTTTTAAAAGCACAAGAAAATTTCTCAGAATGCAGAATGAGTTTCTCAATTGAAAAGAGCCCACCTAATGTCCAGAACAATGAAAAAAAAAAAATTCACAGTGACATTCAGTAAATTCCTAAACACCAGCAATACATCAATTTTAAAAAATGATCATAAAAGCTTCCACTGGGGGTAAAAACAGATCCACTGCTAAGGAAGGGCAAGTAGCACAGCAATGGGCCTCCACACCATATGTGGCAGCTAGACCAGCAGTGTTTAACCATGGCTGCACATTAGAATCACCACAGATGCTTCCAAAACTAATTATGAATTGAATCAGAATCTCTAGGGGTAGGCCCAGGTATTAATTGTTCTCAAAATTCCCCAGATGATTCTAATCATCCTGCAACCAAGGCTGAGAACTGCTGAGCTCTACAGAAGAGGGTGATACTTTCGAAATTCTAATAAAAAATGATTTCCAAGTTGGAATGTATAAATATAGCTAAACTGGCGATCAAGTTTAAGAGGAGAAGAAAGCCTTATTTATCAGATCTACAAGGTCTCAAAAATTTATTTCCCTAGCGCCCCTTCTCAAAAAAAGTCTGCACATGCCAAAATGAGAAAGTAAACTAAGGAAGAATTCAAAGGACTCAGAAAACCAGTTATTTAATGCAGAAGAGAAAGATCTAAAAAGTTTCCAAGGTCGGGACGCCTGGGTGGCTCAGCAGTTGAGCATCTGCCTTTGGCTCAGGGCGTGACCCTGGAGTCCCAGGATTGAGTTCCGCATCGGGCTCCCTGTATGGAGCCTGATTCTCCCTCTGCCTCTGCCTCTGCCTCTCTCTGTCTCTCATGAATAAATAAAATCTTAAAAAAAAAAAAGTTCCCAAGATCATAATTAAAACAAATTCAAACAGGACTGTTCTTTAGTGAGCTTAAAGTACAATCAATATTGATTAGGGTTAGAAGAGAAAAAACTAACAAGAGGTGTATAGGGTGGGGTGGTAATAGACAAAAATCAAAAGATCACCTGGTGTGTATGACCATATTACAATATTGAAAAGATTTTACAAAGTGTTGTCAATAAGCTTGAGCTGAATTAGTAAGAAGTAGGCAAAAAAACTAAGGCACACAAACAAAAACCCGTAATTTTTAAATGCCAGGGGGAGAAAAAAGTTGTGTATATCAAAGAAACTACCAAAGTACAGTATGTGGCTCAGCTCCTAAGTAGGCAAAAAATGTAAACAATAAATTCTGACTTAACAACAACAACAAAATGCAGTAAAACAACCTAAGGATGGGCACAGGCATGGGTAAGAGTGTAAAAGAGCTAATTTCCATCTTTCAAAGTAGGAAATAAATGCATGCTCTTTAAAACTGAAAAATCTAAGACAATATTACAAGTTACACTGAAATGCAGAGGTAGAGATGAACAGTAAAAGGAAAACAACTGACTCTGGGAATGGCAGTTACAAGTGGAAAAATGGAAGAGAGAACTGATATGTTTGTGATTAAGACCAGTAAAACTATTTAACATTAAGCTATGTTCAAGTATTCCTTTTTAAGCTGTTTTGTATTAACTTTGATTAGGAGAAAAGGGCAGGGCACGACTACAGGTTTCAAGGAGACCTGTGTTGAATACAAGAGCCTACACAATTACACATGTTCTGAGGCATTTGGCTTTAATTCTATGCAAGTAACTTTTTCTCTTCTCCTAGAGAGATGAATCAGAAAACATGTGCATAAAGCATTCTTCCTCATCCTACAAATAATGAGAAGCAAACCAAAAATATGAGGGGAAAAAAACCAACTTAATTCAAAATTAGACAGCCTTCATTCAAAAATTTTAAGTACTGCATTCAGAAAGTTATTATTTTAAGAAATTTTCTGATAAAATACTGCATACCAGGAAACAGAATTCCAAGAAAAATATTTTACTCTGACATTCAATTTCGTATCATAAGGAATAAAATCTTTTAATAGATAAATGTTAACATCCCAACTGTTACTGTAAGTTTTTAAATTCAAAATTATCAATTATAGTGAAATAATATGTACAAAGACTATAATGAAAAAACATATAAAGCACTAACTTCAGAAATTGAAGGAAATGTCAACAAATTGTTTTTGTGCTTATAATAAACATTCTCAAAATGATTCTCTGAAATTCTTTGGTATTATTTTCCTCCAAATTACCTCATTAATTTCAGACATCCAACTTGGTGACTTTTTTAAACTCCCACTACATTTTTTATACTGCATTTTAATTTGTTTCCTTGTTCCTAACCCTCTATAAACTCTCAGCTCTGCAGGGCTTGGCACAGGGTCTCCCCTGTTCACCAGTATATCCCTATCACAGAGTCGCATGGTACCTGGCACATGGGAGACACCCAATAAATATCTCTTTTTAAGTAAATGAACTAACACATACTTTGACTTAAGTATTTATACCTAATGAGTATCTATGTCTTGCTTAAGATAATGTTAAATATGAGACAAATGAGTATTTTATACATACAGGAGGAAGGTGAATAGAAAAGTACCTTTCAATGAGTGTACCATTTTGAATCATCCAAACATCACAATATGTTCGAGACACCAGCATAACAGCAATAAGTACCAAGTAACCTGTCTAAAATAAACCAGGTATAGTAAAATAAATGCATTTTTAAAAGTTAAAAGAAACATTACCTTGGTAAAGGTTTTTTATTTCTAAATTCAAATCTTTATTCTAGTTTTAACACAGTGGCTGACATTTTACCTATATGAGATTTTTAAATATAGTTTTAAAAGAATTTAAAAATATAATAAAAATTTAAAAAGCCTTACGCAGCATTTAATCTAACTTTGTCATCCAGAATTCAAAAGTGAATCCCAGGCAGCTCAAATGACTTGCCTTCATACAATTAGCAGAAGCTAGCAGTGTAACTTACATTACCTGAATCACAGTGTATTGTGGTTGTCTTATATTTTTAATATATAAGTCTAATAAAAAATGATAGTAACTATTAATGTACAGTTAAGCAAATACTGAAGGTTAAAATTGTGCCTAATGGGATAAATTTGATTCAATTTGTTGGAAAAATCTCTACTAATTCCCCTGCCCTCAATTTAGTGATTAAGGCAAGATTTACACACAAAAAAAATAAGAAAACAGCATAAATAAGTAAATAATTTGCATCACTTCATGTAATAAGTGACAGGACAGAAAGACCTGGGTTGGCAAAAGAGGGTTCTGATGTTAGGAATACATTAAACAGACCAAGTAAAATAAAGGAGAGGATGAGAATTGAGTAAAAAAAGATAAGGTATTTAATAGGAAATAGATAATAGATTGAAGTCATACAAATAACAAAGTGGATATCCAGCAGAATTTAGCAATATTAAACTACTGCAAGTCTCTAGGTAGAACAAAATGTTAAAATGTGTCATTTTGAGAACATTACTTAAGCAATGCTGTGAAGATGGGATTACCCAGGGGAAAGATGAGAGGCCCAGTCAGGAGTCCCTTCTCTCTTTGTGAGATGAGAACCTACCCTCCAACTTCCAACACAACACAGTCAAAGCTGACCCTACTTAAATCTTCTAAATCGGAATAATAATGACAGTAATATAGAAGCTAAAGTCAGAGAGGAGGGCATATGACAGCAGGGTCATTTGCTGGATAATATATTTAAAGTCAAAGTTATGGTGCTGAGTGGCAACTGCAACTATAACTTACGTAATTTTTGCAAAACATTGCTTTTAAAAAAGGTGAAGGTACTAGAAATACAGCACTTCAGATGCAGACAAGGCAGAGAGTCATAAACACAGAATAATAAAGCCATAAGAAAAGACAATGTCAAAAAAGGCCTGTGTAACTGAGCAGTGATAGCGGCTACTCCAACATTTGCCAGAAAGCAAAGATACCATCTTCTTATCCTATCCATCATCTGAGAGTTAGGTATTCAGTTGGCAACAGATTTTAATAAACACTACCTGTATATATCACTTAACAGTAATGCTAACTTTTAATTCCGATCTTAAATACAGTCTCAATCCTAAATCATTTGACGTATAAGGTAACACTAGAAAAAGATCCTTTATTTTTTTCCTTCATTTTCTGTTCTGGGCTTAATTTTCCTTGAAATAAGTACCAACTTTATTTGCCTCACTTTAGCAAAATCTGGCCAACTTTGATTACTAATGGTCCTGAAACGCCTTTCTACAAAGGATGCCCTGAGAATCACTACCACTCCCAGAATTAATGGGTTTGTAGAATGTATCAGAAACTAAAGATTTGCACTGATTTAGGCAGGCCCTCACCTCATGATATGTATGGCTTCCATATATTCATAGTGGTATTATCATTTCTCTATTTCCTAAATCAGTTAGTCTCTCTATCTCTACCTCTTCTGTGATTTCTACAAGAGTTTATGTTACTTCCATGAACTGGGGTTAAACCTGGATTTTTATATTTCTCAAAGATTGCATGTAAAATAACTCTGTGGCATAGCGAGGCCTAGAGAAAGCTGGGAGGTTGGCCAAGTTAGGCCCTGGTATCTCCCTTACTAACTCCCAGAGATCTATCCAATGTCTCACATTCATTTTACACTCAGAAAACCCTTACTAAAAGGTCAAATGATCACAGAACTGTTAACTGATTAAGAGGGGAAAATAAGAATTCTTTAAATAAATTCTTTAAATAAGAATTCTTCAATCAGGTGGGTTGTAGAATGAGAAAACTTCACCAAGAAGATAATGAGCAACAAGCTATTTTTTTATTAGTATCTGTCTTTATTGGGGGAATGGGGCACAGATATGAGGTCATGAAAGCACAAGAGCACAGAGCCTGACTACAAAATAGTTAAGACTCTTCTAAGCAGATGATAGTCAAAGAAAGGTCAAAGTCAGGTTGTGACTTACCCTACAAGAAAAAAGAAGTCAAATGTGTTTTTACTAAGGTTTTAGAAAAAAGACTATTAAGAAAATGAGAAGAGGCAAAAGGACCGTTTAAGAGATTATGATAATCCAGATAAGAAAGATATATATAGTGAGATCAATAGGAATGGAAAGGAAGACTAATTTAAAATAAACTCAAGGAAAAAACATTCAAAAATAAGGAAGGGAGCAGATTTAAAAAGTCTCAGTGTGATCTCATTTTTATTAAAATATGTGCTAGACACCAAAATACTGATAGAAGTTCTGAGTGAAAGGCTAAGAAGCACCAAGAAGGGAAAAAAAAATCTATTCGCATTTTCTAATTTTTCTTCAAGGAAACGTGTATTATCTCTATCTTACTAGGGGAAAAAAACGTTATTAAATTATGTCTTAGAGATTTATAAGGGTGGAAATCCACTAGCCATGATGCAGAAGTGAGGGAAAAAGAGAGCAAGTCCAGTGTAATGGAGGAATGTGTATTCTCGTTGGGGATTACAGTACTTTTTTTATTAAGATTATAAGGCTAATGCTGTTTAAAATTTTAATAATGGAAAACATTACATTTCAAGAAGATAAATTTGGTGGAGAAGATAAAAAAGGGGGAGCTTCTTTGAAGACAGACTAACACTACAATATCCACATTAAGAATGTCTAGAATGAAAAATGACCCAATACCAGTGACTGAAAGGATGAAGTACAGGGAGGAGAAAGAGACAAGATGATAATATTTCTAGTTATACAAAAGGTGATTAAAGATGGAGAACACAGCATTACCTCATTTTTTAATCATTAAAAATACTTCTCAGATAATGATAAAAATAATCTTGATAAAAGAACAAAGAAAAGGATAATAAAACTTTATTCCTATCAGTTCACTTCCTGAAAATACGGAAAAAATTCATGTATCATTTTGGGCATCTCAAAAACATATTTAATCAATGGGACGCCTAGGTGGCTCAGTGGTTGAGTGTCTGCCTTCAGTTCAGGGAATGATCCTAGAGTCCCAGGACTGAGTCCCACATCGGGCTCCCTACATGGAGCCTGCTTCTCCTCCCTCTGCCTATGTCTCTGTCTCTCTGTGTCTCTGGTGAAAAAATAAAATCTTTAAAAAACAAACAAAAAACATATTTAATCTTGTTTTTACTGACAGAATTTAGCTATATTAAAACAAAACATTTAGGGTAACTGCACTGAAGTACTCTAGTATTTCACACAAAATATAATGAAATACTACTTCAAAAACAAGAGAAAATAATTCAAAAACTGGCACCAAACAACAAAGGTACTTGCAATGATAATAGATCATTTAAAGAAAAAAAATTTAGTAGTCTTCATTACCTACACAGAAAATATTTGACCTATAGTATAGTATATAATTTTATTGTTATGATATCATGTAACCTTAAAAGTTAAACACTTAACATTTTAATTTAAGACTTACCTCCTTACAAAATGTTCTAGGGACCATGATTTTCAGAATCCGTGTGAGTCTTAAAAAAAACACCTTGTCCACCACAGCTCGCTCTTTTTTCCCCTCTTTCTATATTAAAAAAAAAAAAAAATTAAGATATTTATAACAAGTAAGATTAAGGAACCACATTTCATCTAAGTCAATAGTAACAACTATCAAAATGGATATTGCATTTAGAGAATGCAAACATGCATTGTTCTTCAAACATGCTTTCAAGAAAGTAAGATGTTATCAAAAACTAAAGAAGGAAGTAAGAAGTTCTGGTCCACATGAATATCTGGGAGAATACTGTAAGCAGAAGAAACAGCAAGTACAAAATGCCAAGGTGAAAGCTCATGTAATTGCTTTAGGAGCAACGAAATGGACAATCTGGCTAGAACTATAAGCAAGACAGAGTAGCAAAAGATGAGATCAGAGAGACAGCTAAGAAATGGTCAAGTACTTACTGACTCTTTATTACATACCACTTCCTGATTAACAGCAGAATGTTTTTAAAATCCTGAACAGTAATTTTCCTGATATTAATTACTGGAAAGATTTAGATTCCTAGGTTTATCATTTAGCATTTCCAATATGCAATCTACCAATTCACTTTCTCTTCCTCATCAACTTAAAGACAAACAAGGGTTTTTTATTCCTAAAGCTCACATTCTAAACAGGAGAAATATAAAAATAAACCAATAAATTGTTACAGATACACTAGGCAGGACCATGAAAAAAAGACTGATTCAGACAGGATAACAAGCAAGAGCTCTTTGGGGAGGTGACATTTAAGCTGAGACATAAATAAAGTGAAGCCATGTGGTAACTTTGGGGAAGGAAAGTAGTCAAGCACAGGGAACATCAAGCACAAAAACCAAGTGTTGAGAATAAAATCAGTGCACACACTGAAGAGCCAGACAGAACTGCTAAAACAAAGAGAAAAATGAGAGACACTGAAGAGATTGACAGGGTCTATAAAAGACCTCTGAAACCATAGTAAGGATTTAGAGTTTATCTAGTCTGTGTAGCACAAAATCACTGAAGAAACTTTGGAGCAGTAATTAATCTTATCACTCTCGGATGTTTCTTCATTTTGAAGGAACAGGAAAAAGTGAGATGAATTGGGTATGGTAGAGACTATTTACTTTACTACACCCGAAGTGTTTGGAAGATCACACAGGAGAAACTTCTTGCAACAGGCAACACACAAGGAGGATCAGATCCTCCTACCTAGCCCCTCCCCCAACTCCCAGAATCCCTGTTCACTTATTTTTTAACTCTTAATAAATACCCAGGGTAGTCTATAATTAGATTAGCTTTACTGTAAATATGTTTTATCTAAGTTGAGGAACCTGAAATAGTTTGTGTACTGAATGAGAATAAGAATAAGCTACCATCTATATGTCAGACATTGTGCTAAGTGCTTTATATTTATATAATCCTAACAAGTACTGAGTGCATTACAGAATCATAGACCAAGAAAGGAGATCTGAATGCAGTGTGTTTGTAGGGTTAGATCAGAAAGACTAAGACGGATAAGGTCCAGCCTACCCTGTACCTAACAGAGTTCGGGTCTTTCAAACCTTATGAAGGTTGCAAATCTCATCCTACTGAATTAGAAGCCCAGGCTACTTCGTTCACACACGCATGTGCTCATTCATTCATTCAATAAATATTCACTCAGTCCCAGGCACTGTTCAGAATGATGGGAACACATCAGTAAATAAAACAGACCAAAACACTACTCACAGTCTATTTACTTTAGCTAGTCTATTCTCAAGCCAAATCCTATCACTTCAACAGAAATCTCCCCTTTTACTTCCCCCAAACTGAGAAAACATAGAAAGAAAAGAATAAAGACAAAGCAATAGATATCAACTACCTTTTAAAAAAAGAAAGGGCAGCCGGGGTGGCTCAGCAGTTTAGCGCCGCCTTCCACCCAGGGCCTGTTCCTGAAGATCTGGGATCGAGTCCCATGTCAGGCTCCCTGCATGGAGCCTGCTTCTCCCTCTGCCTGTGTCTCTGCCTCTATCTCTCTCTCTCTTTCTCTCTCTCTTTCTCTCTCTCTCTGTCTCTCATAAATAAACAAAAAAATCTTTAAAAAAATAATAAAAAAATTAAAAAAAGAAAGTTAAACTTCTACTCTCAAGTTTTTCCTCTTATCACTGCCTCCCTACCTCACCCCATTGTGCATGGAGTTAACACCCTTAAATAGAGTAATAATATAATGGCCATCTTCTGACTTAAATAGAGATTACCTATTTCTAGCTTCTAGCTGCTTTCAAGAAATGATCTAAAAAAAACGAGGAAGGTTTTAAAAAAAGATATAAGAAAGTCACATTGAAGTACTTTAAAATATTAATTCCTCTTTTATTTCTGTTCCTATTGTCATCACTTCTAAATCATAAGCCACCTGTAAGCCTGACTTGATTTCCATTACATTTCAAGCCATGAAAGAATTGCATATATATTTCCTAAAGTCATCACAGCATGTTCTGCAAAGAAACACCTAGACTAAACAACTAGCTGGTTCAGAAAGGCTGAAATACCATGATGCTCTACCATTCTTGGCACATAATAAAAGTCATACCTGGAACCAATCTAAAGGAGAGAGTACCTACAGAGACAGTACACTTCATAAACACTACTAGCTTCTTCTACGAATTCATTTTTAAATTCACAACTGACTTTTCCCCACCTCTGTACTTTCCAGTATTTCTTTAAAAATACAAAAAATATAAGGCAGCCTGGGTTGCTCAGCGGTTTAGCACCGCTTTCGGCCCAAGGTGTGATCCTGGAGACCCAGGATCAAGTCCCGCATCAGGCTTTCTGCATGGAGCCTGTTTCTCCCTCTGCCTCTGTCTCTGCCCCCCTCTCTCTCTCTCTGTGTCTCTCATGAATAAATGAATAAAATCTTAAAAAAAAAAAAATAGATTGTCTCCCTCTGCCCCTCTCCCTGCTTGCTCGTGGGCTCTCTTTCTCTCTCTCTAAAATAAATAAATAAATCTTCAAAATTATGTAACAAAATAAATACATACGAAATCCCAAAGAGTAGATTAGTTAAAACTTTACCTCATTGTTCTGTAATGGTGGTTTTCCATTTTTCTTACTGCAGAGAAAAAGAAAAGAGAGCTTTATTTGCAAACTGTTCCCATCATAAAAGTTACTTTAAGATATAAGAATATACTAAATTCTCCCCAAAAAAGAGTTCCTTCTTTTTCATATCACACAGAGACAGAATATATTAAATGTTTCAGTTGCCCCTTACTCAGTATTATTTATAGAAAGTGCTCAATAAATATTAACTACTACTGTATCAAGCATTATATTAGTAATTTTTAATATACACATACTCATTTTATAAATTTTCCCATGGAGATATGGAGTCTATTTTGCTATCTTTGAAGCAAGGCGTGGCCATATGAACTGCATCAGTTAATGGGATATTAGCAAGCTGATGCAAGCGAGGGCTTAAAAAATGTTTGTGCCTTCGGCCCTCCTCTCTCTTGCTGCTGGGAATCTTCTCCCAGCCATTTGAGCAATCCCTGGTTAATAGCCTAAAGGAGGAAAGACCTGTGTCATTAGACATTACAAATAAAAAACTGCCTAGGTAAGGAAGTGATAGTTCATGCTACTCAAAGTGATTAATCAGGCAATTACACCTAGGTCTGACCACTAATCCTAAACAGTATCATAACCAGGCTTAGGTTCTTTTTATAACACACTACCATAGGACTCTATGCTTCTATACAACATTGATCACATTTTAAATCTCCAGACTGATTGATAGTTCCTCCCAATAAATCAGTTTCGTGAGATCTTGAGCTACTGCAGGTTGGTCTCTCCAAAGTAGACCAGAAGTGGTACTTGGGATACAAAATGTTTATGGGGGATTAATACCTATGAAAGGAAAGCAAGTGTGGACAGAACTGAAACTGATGCAGGCCCAATAAAATTTCAATCAATCATGGGACGCCTGGGTGGCTCAGCGGTTGAGCATCTGCCTTCAGCTCAGGGTGTGATCCTGGAGTTCCGGGATGGCACCCCACCTCGGGCTCCCTGCATGGAGCCTGCTTGAGTCTTTGCCTCTCTCTCTATGTCTCTCATGAATAAATAAATAAATAAAATCTTTTTAAAAAGTTTTTCAACCAATCAGGAAGGAAGCCCTGTAGCAAGTACTGTCCATCAGAGTGCTCTGTGAAGGGTTGAAACAGCCAGGTCTTTTTACCTTTATCTTGCTTGGTCTACAAATCCATGCTGCTCCAGGGAAGGCATGAACTCAGGCAAAGTGGCTCTACAACTAAGACAGACCCCAAGGTGTGGCCAGAACGGGTTACTTGGTCATCCAACTCCTTACAGCTGGACAGTAGGCCCTTCTTCAAAGGGGAATCTGGGTAGCACACCTTCATGTCTACTATTGGGGGCATATATCATTCAATCCTCTATGTTCAACACTTAGTTGAACTCCATCAATGGGTAGAATGAACACTTTCGATAATAAGATACCAGGTCACTGAAAAAGGCTAAGCCAAACAACTACAATTTAGTAGATGCTCCCATTCTAAAAGTGCTTAGCTTTATTATTTTTTTCTATTTTCAATTGTATTACAGGATTGTTTATGTGTTTTAAAGTTTTTATAAGATTGCAAAGCTGTTTCAGAAAATGCCTTTATATATGTTCAGGCATGTACAGTTAATTATAGCCCCCTTTTATAAGGCTTTCTAAACTCCTCCTTTCAAAGAATTCTTTAATGTTTTCTATCAATGTTCTCAATATTGAAAATATTAATGATATAAAAATATATAGATCATTAAGGATAAATTAGAACAGTATGCTAGAAACCTATATTGGGTAACATTTTTTCACTGGAAATGTCATGCTAAAAACTGGAGAGAAGTTAACTTACTTCCAAAACTATGATCTACTAGTAGGCAGATTCAATTCTAACAAATATTCAGTATTTTCCTTTTCTTGATTTTTATCCTATGAAACTAATAAAGGCTATAAAACAAAAGACATAGTCTACTCTTGTGTATTCCTTTTGGCTATGAAAAGATCAACTTATAAGCTAACTACATTAAAATAAAGGTATTCAACATGTTCAAAATATGCTGATTTGCACACTAATGGCAAGATTATCTGTAATATCTACAACAATCATTAATCATCAGTTGTCTTGTTACACTTGAGGATATAAAAAATTTCATTTAAAGACAATACAGATATTAAAAAAATAAAAATAAAATAAAGATAATACAGATATTACATGTTAAATAAAATTTTTACAAAAATAGCTTTATTTTTCCAAACAAAAAATTTAGTAAGGGAAGTGTTATTGTTTTACATTTTGCAAAATCTCACTAATGTCTGACTTAATACAAGAAGATTGGGTTCTCATATTAGAGTCTCCGTTCTTGCTACCTATTGTGATAGAGATAGGTAGTTGTAAAAGAGGAGTATTTTCATAACTGTGGATATTCTTCCTGGATACTGTAATGTTACAGTGCAGTCTGGAAACACTATCAATGAACTTTTGTACCTTATACAATAAAATCTATTGGTCTACATTATATTTACCCTTCCAATGGATCTTTTATCCATGCAAAATTTTGTAATATGCATTAGTCTTTTGGAAAATAATGATTCACTGAATTGTGCAGTAGACTTACCAAATGTAATATATTTTATTATGCAATATTTTTTAGAATTATATTTGTTAATACTGCCACCGATCTCATCAGAACAGTCTTAACCATTGGAAAGCTATCAAGCTCATGGTGGCAGAGACAAGTTTTCCAAATTCCAATAGTCACTTGAAAGCTTAAATTGTAACATTAGCAACAAACACTGCAGTTTTTCCTTGAAGGTACTGTAAGAGAATGTCTGCAATATTCAAGGCCAAATAACTACAGTTATTTAGTCATTCTTTCAGGTAAAAATGATGTTTCCCCCAGAAAAGTGGCTAGTTTAGCTTAGAATTCAAACAACTACAGGTGTGTTCCCTCAAGATAACCTCTGCATTACGATATGCTGCAAGAAGTGCTTTGTGCCAACTTCTTCTTTTTCTTTGGCAAACACATTAAAAAAAAAAAAAAAGACCAATAACCAACTATTTATAAAAAGTATAGGAAGGATATATCCAAGAAATGGAAGGGTCAGGTTCACATATGAAAATCAATCCATAATTCATCTATATTAACAATCTAAAAAAAATAACCATGATATCAATAGACATACAGAAAAGGCCTTTGATAAAATCCAACACCTATTAATCATAAAACTCTAATCAAACTAGGAATAAAGAGGAACTTCTTCAATCTGAAAGGGACATCAACAGAAACCTACAGCTATGGGGCACCTGGGTGGTTCAGTTGGTTAAGAGACTGACTTCAGCTCAGGTACTGATCTCAGCGTCCTGGGATTGAGCCCCTCCCTGTCTGGCTCCCTGCTCAGCGGGAAGTCTGCTTCTCCTTCTGTCCTTCTGTCCCTCTGTCCCTCCCTCGCCCCTGCATGCACACACGTGCTCCCTCTCAAATAAATAATCTTTAAGAAAAAGAAAAAACCTACAGTTATCACCATATTTATAAGACTGAGTCTCCATTCCAGAATATGGCCAAGATGCCAATTCTCATGACTTCTATACAATATTGTTACTGGAAAACACAGTGCAAAAAGGTAAGAAAAGAAATAAGGTTCTTCACCTTCTCATACTGAACCTGGGCCCTAACCCAGTGAAAGTACCTTCACCTACACCACCACCTGAATCAAAACTTGGGATTATTCTCAGGTATTCTCCCTTTCTCTCATACTCTTCATACCCAATTGCTCTCTATGTTCTTCTCCTCATCTCTATTGACAAGACTTCAAATTGGGCCATCAAAATTTCTCACATAAATTACTATAATTTTTCCACCTCCTTTCTACATAGTTTCCTTTTCATCTCTAAACTGCTTTCAATTCACTTCCATAGCCATATCAAATATCATGTGTGAGTGTGCATGGCACACTCAACTGAGGTTAATAAGGGCCCAGAGGCGAAGACCTGAACATAGGCAGCAACTCTGGGAATGGAAAGAAAGACAGGAAAACTGTCAGAAATGACATGGTGAGGGAGCAGATCAGAGCTGGGAACTATAGCTGACCCTTAACACAGGTTTGAATTGTGCAGGTTTACTTACAGATTTTTTACAGAGCAGAACTGTAAATATATTTTCCCCTCCTTATGATTCTCTGAGTAATAATTTCTTTTCTCTAGTGTACATTATTGTAAGAGTTATTGTAAGAATTATTGTAAGAATGTAGTACATAAGACATAACACACTGTTAAGTGTTAATCAATGTTTGGGGATCCCTGGGTGGCGCAGTGGTTTGGCGCCTGCCTTTGGCCCAGGGCGCGATCCTGGAGACCCGGGATCGAATCCCACGTCGGGCTCCCGGTGCATGGAGCCTACTTCTCCCTCTGCCTGTGTCTCTGCCTCTCTCTCTCTCTCTCTCTCTCTCTCTGTATGACTATCGTAAATAAATAAATAAAATTTAAAAAAAATAAAATAAAATATTAAAAAATTAAAAAAATTAAAAAAAGTGTTAATCAATGTTTATGTTATCAGTAAGTCTTCTGGTCAGTTAATAGTAAGATATTAGTAGTTAAATTTGGGGACAGGCCAAAGTTATACAAAGATTGTCAACTGTGCAGGGGTTCACCCCTAATCCCTGCATTGTTCAAGGTTCAACTGAACATGGAAATGAATGGAGAAGAGCACAGAGTTTAAGAACTGTGTAAAGATGGAGGAGATATAAGAAACGATCAGCTACAAACTGAAGCCATGAAAGGCAAAGACCACTTTCCTCAAGTTTCACAATTTACAGCCTGAGCTGCTAGAGGACAGGGATTCTGTTAACTACAAAAGAATAACAGTAAAAGCATTCAAGGAAGTAATAATTAGACTCATAGTAAACACATTCAATTTCAAGTCCCAGTGATAACTATATGGAATTTTAAAAGTTGAGATTTTTAAAAGTTGAGATTTGAAGTACAAGAGTGGAGATGCTGATTTGAAAGGCATTAACAAGACACTGACATGGACATACAAGGATAGAACTCCTTTGGG